TCCCCCCCCCTTCACATTTCTAATGGTGCATCCCTAAGCCGCAGGGGGGGGAGGCCGGGTGTAGGCGGGGGATTTGATGTAACAAGTCTGCCCGTGGCAGGGACTTTTGATCATTTGTCGAGTCCCGGGGGTTGGGACTTTTGACTTTAACCGTTAGTGGCCTGAGCTCCACCGACGCCATCTTGGATTTTCGGCGCACTGAGACCTGGTAACCAGCAGACATCAAAATGGAGGCTGCTTCGGTTTCCGTGAAGAAGGTAAGAAATCTGTGAAATTTTGTCGCTTAAAGAGCCCATCGGGCCGTTTTTTGCGTTTTGTTATGTCATTAGTGCCATGATTGATTATATTGCGATATTCTTTTTGTTTTTTAATACAATTGTTTCATACATATTTATGAGATGTTAATTAATGCGTGGTTGAAATCAAATCAGAGGTTATAAATATTTCATTTCCATCGTTCCTGTTTGCCAGTATAGATAATTACATCACCCAGTCAAAATGTCACATCTTGGTTTGTTTACAAAGTATGCAGTTCCATTTTTTAGTTACTTTAGGACATAGGTCTGTTGGTACTATTAAAAATCAGAAAAGTGTTACGGACTGAAGTTGAAATAAACTAGTCTTACTTGGTGATGTAAATATGAATAATGGCCATGAGTTATAAACGGATGTCAATTCAAATAAAAGTTATCTGTAGCATAACATTTCATGATAAGATACCAGAATTTCCTTGTTTTGCTGTATTGTTCAATAGTATCAGTTGAGACAGTCTTCAAATTTTTATATACTTTCCAGATAAATTACATTTTGAAGTTGTTGCTTCTTGCTTTTTACAGCTTTATAATTCCTCTATATCCCTATTTTAATTCTTGTTTGACCAATGCCTTGACCTTTTTCTGGAAGGGGAGGGGGATGGGGAATTTGCACTCTTTTGACCAGCGATAACGTCCCTGGGGTCGGGCATTTGAACAGAAAAAATGATCTGAGTTCAAATCCCCCGCCTATGCCCGGCCTCCCCCCCCTGCAGCTTAACATTGATAGGTGCATTACTAGTAAACTAAACTTGTCGAACACAAAAAATCCGGCCTGATTTTTTATTTTGGCCTCTCTTTTAGACAGAGGAATGCAATGTGTAAATTGGCTGCCACCAAGGACTATCGTGGCGCCTGTGTTTCTTAAAATTATATTTCGGGGTTGTCCAATTATCCATAGTCTCTCAAACGGAGCAATGTTGGAGAGAGTGGTGAATGCCACATTGTGATTCAACAGCTAATGCAAATACAATACACGAATAGGTAGGTCTATTTGTTTTCCAGGCCTAATCTACTGTGATCGAACATGATTGCTATTTTTGGGTGTACAAATAAGATTATTTAATAACTCGATGTAAAAGCTGTTTCAATCTTGGACTGTCAAATTATTTTTCTCTAAAATCACTTAGCCTTTGCCTCAAACGTCAAATGAATGTGCCCTGATCTGCGGATTACAAGTTTATTGTTTGATTTAAATTATGAATTTTTTAACGGGAGCTTCGCTTTTAGCCCTGGCTAAATCTATATATTATCAAAAGTACGGCTTACCTAATTCATTACTGGCACTGACTCACAAATTGAGCCATATTCTAATCCCAGTGAATGTGCTTTAGAAACTGCTGGTATGCTGGCATAATGCGGCTCTAAGTTGATTGCCCATAAGGCCGATTCGGGCTCGAGGAATAATCGTTTTAGTAAAATCCAACTAGTTGGTCAAAAATGTCGAGACAAAACATCTTTAGCTAGCAAAACGCGATTCAGCAGCCATTGTTTTGGTTTTCAAAGCCGGCGCTTTTTCTAGCCTGGTAGTAGCTCAACCAATCAGAACGCAGCGTTGATAATAGACCATCAGTTACCATCCGGTTGCTTTTCTGAGGGGCCGCTAAGCCCATAAACAAGATGGTGGACTACAGGAATAAACAACTTCAGTGTTATGGAGCACGAATTATGCCCTTCGTGTACATTTCCTGGCCATCATTCAGCTATTGCGTTGACGCCTTCAGGTTCCATACTGGTAAGTTAATACGACGAAATTTATTTCACGCCTCGGTGCGTGGAATTTAAGTACATTATGTTGCCCAGTGCCCAGTATCCGGACACTTCAGTTTAACATTGCAATAACTTTCCTTTGTTAGTCGCAAGAGCTCTGAAATTTCGCCCACGGAGAATCTGTTTAGTCCTTAATATGACAAAAGACAGTTTAACTTCTTTGCCTTTGTTTCCATCGCGAAATTAATATTTTTGCAGAGCTCCTATGTTGCCCAGTATTTCGGACAGCTGGCCCAGTATCCGGACACAACAATAACAACGTAGTTGCACATAAGTTTCGACAGGCAAGCCACTTATAAGCTTCTCTTGCACTTGCAAAGTAGTCTGGCAATCGATTCCAAAAATATAACGTAGCATCGTGAAATAAAACATAGCAAATGACTGGCGTGGGAAATGCGAGCGGTTGTTAAATCACATAATACTGACTTCCTTGTTTAGGAACTTTTTCACTGATTTAAGGAAGGCATCCGTGGACATGCCGAAGCCATGGTTTGCTAGCTTAATTAGCCAATCTGAAAACGACTTTTTTTCTTCATTTTTTATTTAAAAAAAGCTTGGGGAAGGGACCTCAATGCGACGGTCAAAGGTCACTCTCCTATTTAGTCTGACCTGCAGTGTTGATTTCTTCATGCTTAGTCCCTTCAAATCCTACAATAAGCCTGCTTTTCTAGCACTAATTCCTCCTTCTTTCACATCTCTCAATCCCTTTGTGACATGTTTCAGTCCGTTGCAACCTTATTCTAGCAGTCACAACTGGGGATAGTATGAGAATTCCAGGTTCAACTCCAACGCTTGCGAGTTATATATAGAAAGTGCAGTCAAGCGAAACAAGCGGCGCACATGAAATCAAGTCGTCTCCGAATGAGTGAAGAAAATTTCCGTATGGAGTTGAGTAGAATTACATTTTACGACTATATCATATATCCTAAGCTTTAATTATAATTATAGATATGAAATAAATCTTACCCGGATAATGTACACAGCTAATTCATCGATTCTGTACAGCAAAGAAAAAACTGTCTGGATACTGGGCACCTGACATCAATACTTAGTGAATGTTTCTGGGCTCCGTTATTCCAAACAAATCAAATTTCAAGAAGGATTAATAAACTTTCTGAGAACCTGACGTCTTTAAGTATCTTCCCTTTAAATATAAAACCGTTTCTTTGAAAATATCACATATTACCTACCCTTTTCTGAGCAGCACTAATTTTACTGCGCAGTAAACAGCGTAAATATTAGCCATGAAATGTTTATTCACCTGAACAGAATGGCGTCTTCTAGCTACGACTGTTTCGCAAGCTTTCAACTTGCCAAAACCTCCATCTTAAAGCTGAAATGTTCAGCTTTCATTCAAAATACTTCGTTTACCGATAGCTGAAAAGGGCGCCTCAAAAATTGAGTTTTTGTTTTAAGTGTTGGGATACTGGTACCGTCCGGATACTGGGCAACATACTGTAGCGGAGTGTTACCACAAACTGTTTTCTTGAAAATGCCCGACAAAAAACAATGTCCGTAGGACCTCTCATAGATTAGCTCAAAAATACTGCTCAAATAAGATCTGCACAAATGGTAAAGGTGCCTCCCCAAAAAATGGTTTGGAAAATTGGCTTTCCTAGGGAAGGTTGATTTGCCAAAGGCACCCACTCCAGGCTGTTATTTTGCACCGAATGACTCTCACTGAAGTAAAGTCAAACCGAGTGAATCAAATTCCATTTAGGGGAATTTGATATATATCCAGGTAAAACTGGATAAAACCTTGGATTGTTTCAGAGTCATTCAGCTGTTGGCAGCCTCTTAGCCTTTTGCAAATGTGATAGAGTACTTTCGTAAAGAGGCGATGTTAGTTTCATATGCTGCCATTTTAACTATGGACTGCATACAGCTACTGCTATTCCTGACATATAATGACAGAGACTCTCCTCAAACATTTTTACTGACCTCAGTTAGTTTACAATCCCAGTGGGACCAGTTTATCAAATCAGTATCCCTTAGTGACTCTTGATGTGATACCAAAGAAAGGCTAGTAATTTGTCAGAAGTCTTTTAGGGAATTTCTTCCATGCACTTGTCCTATTGGTTATTATTATTCATTCAAAATATTTTCCCAATTTTGATTGGCTAAAAGCACATGCATAATTCACCATTACAAGTTACTGATGACCAAATTTGGAAGAATTTTGTGTTTAACGAGGAAATGATGTCAAAAATGCAGCCCGGCCCCTGCAGGTTAATTAGGCACCATTACCGAGAAGACCTGGGGATGAGGTTGAGTTTTTGGTTTTGCTGGAGCTAGGCAAAATAATAGCTAAAAATGTGGCAAAAACAGCAAGAAGACAACTTGGAGGGCGACATCTGCTATTTGGAGAATATTTGCGGAGCTGGACAAACCTAAACATACACTATCAAAGATGAACTTTAACATCGATGCAGGTAAGCGTGTTTTAGCTGTGTTTTTAAACTAACAATTATTATCATAAATATATGTTATAATTCATGTTGTGATATTGCGTTTCTTTCTCTAAACCCAATTCCAAACCATGAACCTTCAGTGCGCTTTAGTGAGGCTCAAAAAATCTGCCCCTAAGTTTAAGGACTGTCCTACTTAAAATAATGCATTTTTCCACAGCGGTTGTTTCTTTTGGATCTAGCGGAGGTTGACATTACCTGGAATGTCACTGCAGTGAGGAGCTAATAAATCAGACGTGCCTTTTTCGTAATGAATCCTAATGTGCCTTAGGAAGTATAGATTTCTTTCACAGCATAAAATATCATTATATAGCCATGTGAATGAGAAGATACCTCATGTTTATTTTCTTGTTCGTTTTTGACAAAGATATCTGTTATTTCCCTAACAGTGAGGATGGGAATACCATTCAAGATAGTGATGTTTCCCTTTTCCACTGCCTTGGGATCAAGTTCATAACCACTTTGGTGGTGAGTGTAGGCACAGACTATTCATGTCATATTCTCTGCAGATCTGCCAGTGTACATAAGTTGCCACCAGGTATTTATTATTATTATTATCATTATTGTTATTGTTGTTCTTGTTATCATTATCATCATCATCATCATCATCATCATCATCATCATCATCATCATCATCATCATCATCATCATCATCATCATCATCATCATCATCATCATCATCATTGTCGTCGTCATCATCATCACCACCACCACCACCACCACCACCATCATCACCACCAGCGTTACCACCACCACCACTACCACCATCATCATCACCACTAGCATTACCACCACCACCACCACCACCATCGTCACCATCATCATCATCATTGTCATCATCATTATCGATATCATCATCGTGATCATCATCATCATTATGCTATAATGTTGTTAGCTTTATTGCTTTTGTTGTTGTTGCTGTTTTTTTTTTCTGGAAGGTAGATTTTCTGATCACTGCCATAGCAAACGTTTATAATAAGACTTACCTTGACAGAGCAGTAAGGACATCTCTTAAAAAGCCGTTTCATGCACCGTAATAACAACCCACCTGTACTCAATTTTTGACTTTCCATTAAACAAAACTATCCTTGCAAAGTAAATGAAAACTAACGTGTGACTTCAGTAAAGCCGTGTGTTTTTGTGGTGTGCGTGAGAATTGAACATTTGTTTCAGTCCCTACGTCCCGAAGATTTCTGGCACGCGTAGGGTATCACAGAGAATTTGGCTGGCACCGAAGGTGAATTAACCAGTATAGCAGGCACAGAGAACACGAGAAAGTAATTGGCAACATAAAGAACATTGCAGTAGTCAAAGAAAGAGGAATGACCCCTATGACCCTCTAGCCCTGAAAACAACAGGTGATGTGTTTTTAAAGGCCAATGAAAACAATGAAAATTATTGGTTTCTGAGAGCTTTGTGGCAGTCCATTGCAAAATCCTCTACTTAAATTAAAGTTGCTGCATGCAACTGGCCCCAGGTGATTTTAAGCCTCAAATATGGTCATTGAATTGGCACTAACTACATTGGCGCGATGCTCAGTAAAAGTCCAGAGGCTTGGTCAGTGTTGTCAGTGAATATTTTTATCGCATGCCGTGAACTTCTAGCCGCCATTTACTGCTGAGCAACCATGTTGTGGGCGCCAAGCAGTATCACCAGGAGCCCAGCCAGCCGTTCCCCCGGCATCGCCCCAATGACTGTTCTGCTTACCACGTTGTGACGTTATCTGTGACCTGTTTATTCGGCCTGTTCCTTAAAAAAGACACACGGCAACGTGGAACTTGAACGTGGTGGATGTTTACTTGTGTCCTCCTCAATTAACCTCTACTTCACTCTGTTTATATTGTTTCCATGTGCACGAACTGACAAAATCTTTTCACTTTTGTGGCGTTTTCCATACATGTATTGCCCGTATTGCGTAATTCAGTTTTAGGCCAGGAGGAGGGTTACAAATAAGTGGCGGCAGCTCAGACTCGTCACAAAAATGTGACGTTACAGACTCAACGTCAGTGACAACCTCATGTAAGCTAGTCTTTCAGCTTATCCTAGCATTGTGGTTTATCCTTGCTGGAGTAATTACAGTATATATAATAACGCAAAATAATTAATGGTAACTTTTATTTCAGCATTTTGAAGATTGCATGCAATCGTGCAAATAGAAAAACAGAAAGGCGAAAAGTATCAGACAAACGAATTAAATTTCACAATTTTTTGGGAAAAAAAAGGAGAACAAAGAAGAAAATTGACAGGACTTGATAGACCCCTGAAGTAATTTTCCCCGTTTCGATAACTTTGTTCCAGGTTCTAAAGCCTTTCAGAAGCGATTGCAAAAGATATCTCCTGCGCGTGGTATCTTTTGACTCTCAGGAATGTTGAACATGTATTTGAGTTTTAGTTTCTTAGATATTGACAGCACTTGAAGGGGTTAAGAAAAGTCAGTAATCTACTTTATTGTTTATATCACTAAACGTGATGAGATAGCGGCTAAATTACCAGCAGTCTATCACAGGGGTCACTTAGTGGCTCGCACAAGGACGTGATAAAGCATTAAAACCACACAGAAATTGCGAAATTAAATCAGGCGTATTATCCTGTTAGCTTACGTGACCCTTAAGGATCCACTTACTTCCCTTCCTTTGTGTTCAACTGTAAACGCGCTATCTCAACAGAAATCTTATGAATTGAAATGGCTTTCAAATCATTTGCTCTCCTAATTATGTGCACAAGAACAAGAATAGTTGAATTTCGAGTTGTTTGAATACTGACGAGCAAATTTTCACTTGCATGCAATGTTGCACGCGGATGCCAATGTCAATCAAGGTTTAATGCTAACGTGACGCCGAATTCCTTTTTTGTTTTTCTTTGGTTAGCAAACATAAGAGGTACTTAATAGTCACTGAATATCAACAAGGACATGACATTATCCCGGCATGGCGATATGTACTTACAGTTACTTAACTGGTGTTGAACTCCTATCAAAATCTTCAGGCTATGTAAACAGTATCAAATTAAGGGTGACAACGTTATATACCCTCAATTCGGAGTAACCCGGTCTTTTTTATGAAGAGGTCCCTAGATGTGACTTGCACCGGACGAGACGACAATTTTTGAACTTTGCCACAAGGCAATCTTGAACAACTAAATTGGATTTGACATTTACATCAAAATCACGTTGTCTCATTTTTAGTTTTTAAGTTGTGCATTGAGCTGCGACTAAATTGAAATACAAAAGCCATTAAGAAGACGACAGAAATTTTATCCGGAGAAGACCATCACGGTTGCTTTTTGAGCTTAAGTATTTCGCTATACATCTACGAACACTGGCTACTTCATGATGAAAAAAGAAAACAAGAACATTTTATTAGTTGCGTTTTGGAAGTTAATTTCTGTTGCCTTTGCTCTAGGTAAGCCTACGTTACTGAATTCGAGTTGGTCCGTTCCCAATCAATTGCTGGCGTTGTCCGTTATTGTCTCAACGTTTTACTGTGAACTTCCAAGTACTAAGAAAACTGAAAAGTTGATGAATCTATTATTTTGTTCTCAGGTGGACGTGTGACAAAGATAACCCCAACCTCTGGAAGTTTGCTGGGAGCGACGAGGTTAACAATTCACGGAGAAGGCAAGTTACAGATAGCAATTTCGATCTTATCTGCAGTGATCATTGTTTACTGCACCTAAAGTTATTCGTGAAAGAGAGAGAGAGAGAGCTAGCCATCACGGGTGAAACACTTCTGTAAAAAATTCCTTATTAAAATGACGAATTTAAGTTTTCCAGTTGTTGCGGTTTCAGATGCAACAGCATGTAGTTAGCTCTTGCATTGATTTAAGCCGGTTAACAATAGAAATTTATCTTGAAGAGAAGTATCAGTTTTCCTTGTTTTCCTTGCTTCATATGCGTAAAGGCATGTTGGTTAACATCTGTTTTAAATACTCCGCACTCGTTCATGGCCATTCCAATAACAGTTTATTTCGTGAGGAAAACTAATACGTTTCCATAGCTTCCGTTTAGGGTTTGGAATCAAAGCAATTAAAACTACGTTAACTGATGTTGGGGGGTAACAAGACCACAGGAACTGAGGGATTAGCGCATTTTTCATTTATTAATCTTTCTTGCAGAAGCTTTCCTATTTCATTTAGCGGCTTTTATCGCTTTTCCCTCGTTTTTGAGTTGCAAGTGGGTTTCATCGATTATAACTGTCACCACGTTTCATAAAAAATAACCGCAGCAACGTTACGTTTTGCTGATCATCGTCTGAAAAGATGAAGGGATTTATTAGCAGTTAAGGCTAAACTGATGAGCCAATTTCATGCAGTGGAACGGAAATCAGTGTCCGGCGACTGTTATCAGGATCAAATATGGTTTATGGAGCTAGCCTTATCTATGCGTACCCATTAATCCGGTGGTACATATTTTCACCCATGCCTTTTTCCCAGCTTTCCAAAGTTGTTGTAGTTTAGTCGGCATTTGAAGAACTGAGTCAGAGTTATGCTTAGTTATTAGGTCTTTATAATTTGAGGTTTGAAGAACAGCATTGATCCTTTCTCTGGACCGTCGTGTAATGACAATTGAATTCACACGCTGGTACTATTGCCGAGCTTGGTAGTTTCCGCTAAGAATATGTGTGCGTTTTTCATTTTCAGTTTGACTGTTTATTTCCTGGACGTCACGTACTGAAAAACTTTCAATTTCTATCTGAGATATATAAATAATTCTACAATGGCCAGCAGAAACGTTCCTGTCGAAGGCAATGTTTATAAAGAACCAAGAATAGTATTCCATCATTAAATGCAAAGCATTAGCCGTATTAGTTTTGAGTGACTTAAGCAGATTCTCTTTTTATGGCTTACCGGCTGTTGTTTCACCTTTGCTCATTAGTATCGTATGTTACCGATAACTATTTATAGACTCTTCTCGGAAAGGTATATGATGTCTGGCTTTTCAAAGTCATGCTAGAAACTTAACCTTTCTAAATTACCTTACTGAATTTTGCGATGCCAAAAAGATGGACCAGTGGTGAAGTTTAGTCCCGGGGGGGGGGGCACTTTAGGAATTTCTGGGTGGGGATGTGCCGCTGGGAGCCTGGAACCCTTAACCATTACCAGAGCTAGTTCAGCTGAATTTTGCTACCCTATACTAGAGTTAACTCCCCAAATCCCCCTATCCTAGAGTAGCTGTGTACCTAGTCTAGATAAAATCTTCAATCAACTGATCAGTTTCCTGAAAAATGATACCCTCTTCTAGAGCCAAACGCTCTGATTTATATACCCTATCCTAGAGTAAACTGCTTGAAAACCATACCCTTCACAGCGGCACATACCTATATAGCCCATATATGGCAGTACCCCCCCGGGAGTTTAGTACTCACTTGAAATCAAGTCAAATCGCAAGATTTCATACAAACTGTATTGTGTTCGTGAAACAAAATAAATACTATGATCGCTATAAATAATAAGTGACAGATGAGTCTTGCTAGCTATAATCATGGTTATTCTTTTGCTAAACGTACGTATTTCAGTTTTTATTAGTTTTCGACATCGTTCTGTCAGTTCATTATCACTGTAACATTCTCTGTTTCTAAGTCTGTCTGTTTTGTTTAATCATCAAACCGAACTTCATCTGCCCTTTGTTTCCTTGTTTTGGTTTTGGCCTTAAAGCCAAAAATAGGAAAACTTTAACGAGATCAACGGAAGGAGGATATCGCGAAAAATTAACCACTCGCGGAATACCGCTTCCTACTTGCGAAATTTTAAGTGCGCGCTCAAATAAGTAAAAGGTGGGTTGATGATCTCTGTAAGGTCTGTTTACTTTCTTTTTCATTCGTGCGCAAAACCACGCTGGTTAATTGACGTTCTACGTGTTGAGCAGAACTTAGTAAACCGCACTATTGGCTTATGCAAGCGTTGACGGTTCAGCGGGTTTCACCCACGCGTGATCGCTCACACACGTTCTGTTTGTTTGTTCATTATTATTACGGTTAACGACTAATGTGATTGATTTTCCAGCAAATGATCGCACAAGATAGTATAAATGAGTCTTAAAAATCTAGGTTGTGCATCAAGAACTACAAGTCACGAACCCATAACTTTAATTTTAAACTGCGTGCATCACTTTGCAGTGAAAAGCGACGAAATCAGCAACGCTATTAGATTTGATTAGGAGTAAGAGATCGATTACGAGTACGTTGTTAGAATTTCATCCCGGTAATGGATGGAACTCTCGTCCTTCCCTGTCACTAAACAGACCATAGAAGGATGTGAAAGATAAGATTGTCGTCATAAGTGATTATCTGAGGCTCATGAACTTAGTTTGAAAAATCGTATTCTTATTCTATCAGGGGCACCCAACGAGAATATAGTTCAAAAACACTTAAACATAGCATTGTTGAACGTATTTTAGTAATTAAACGGTGGTCATAGGTATATTTTTATCCCCTAAAAATCTTTCATCTGTTCGGATTTCCTAGCTGAAAGTCTAGTGATCCGAAAATTGTAGAGATCAAAAGTTACCTTTCCAAAAATTTAAGCCATAAAAAAGGCGCCCGAAAAATTCCAGGTGACCTTTTTAGGGTAAAAATCCGTTAAAAATGGGCAATTATACCATTTTTTTTTTGGGGGGGGTCGAAAATCCTAGGAGAGGCAGGCAAGCAAGAAATTTAATAACAAATGTTCCGAAAATTCTAGACCTCAAATCGTCTTCCGAACAGATAATTTCCAAAATTTGTCGTTGGGTGCCCCTTTTCTATGTCACGATATCCAATCTAAAGGTCGCAATTTAATGGAGAAACAACAACGGGAAGATAAAATTGAAAAATGACATTTACATTTAAATTTGAAGTAACACATAACTGGATACTTCTTTAACCTTTAAGGAAAATAAATGGTAGGCCTTTTTCATAAATACCATAATACTATTAGTTGTCCTTCCAAAATTCTGCACAAGCATTGTTCAATTTCGCCCCAAGAGAAATTAAAAACAATTCTTATGCAAAAGTTTGAAGGAAACAGAAAGAGTACTATGGTATTTCTGTTGGCCAGAACCTCTAATTTGATAGGTTCTTGTTGGCTCGAAGCTCTGTTGTTCAGAGTTAGGGTCATTGTTAGTTTTGTTTGGTTGAGGGCCAGGGGCGGATCCAGGATTTTTTTTAGGAGGGGGTGCACTCGTCTCTTGCTCTACTTCAACACCAATGAACCACATAGTTTTTTTTTCGCAGAATATCAGTTGTATTAAAAAACCGCAGGTCATCTCAGGTGCGGGGGGTGCACCCCCTGCACCCTCCCCCTAGATCCGTCCCTGAGGGCTATATACTGTTTTCTAAACCAACGCTGTGAGCCGTTCTTAGAGTTTCTGGCCCACCGGTATTTTTGAAAAAAGCCGATTTAGCGTTATAGACTGATTAAGTTATCAGTAATTTTGCTTTTTTTAAGGATTTGCAAACGACCAGTTTAACTGGCATCAAGAGGAATTGGGCAACAGTGTCACACTAGTGTCGGTATCACGAGCCCATGTCTTACCGTGTGACGTCATAACATATTATACCACCCCGTATCGAATAGTGTGTACCACAAGGTATGTGACTCCTTTTAAAAATAAAATAGTTTTTCCTGGCACGGGTAGCATTTATTCTCTGATTTTAAAGCGCTCAAGGGATCGTTTTTCACAAAACAAAACAAAAAAACAAAAAAAAAAGAGAGAGAGAATTTACTGCTGAATTTCTTGCAGAAGACGATTATGCTGAAGTCCCACTTCTTATAAAGTTCTTTCATACCTTATTTTAGTCTCACTTCTTAATCGCTGTTTACTTACTTTGTTTTATGCTAATTTGTGCTATTTATTTTATTGTAGTGTCCTCTTTGTTTTCTAGTCCAGCTACCAGAACCTTGTAATGTAATTTGTCTTCCCTCCCCCCGCCTCGATTAGTTCTGTACCTATTTGCAGGGGGTTGGAAATTATGTAATTATATACACTGGTTGAGTTTGAATCTAATTTGTTTGATTTCCAACGAGATGCTTGAAAAAAAAGAGGAATAGTATTACGTTAAATACGCCAGCACAAAATTCTTTGCTTGGTAGATTTTGACGGGATTTTTTTTTCTTTCTTTTGTTCGAAGGCCTTCCCCTTCTGGTGAGGACAGCTATAACATCAGAATAACAGTGGATGGACAATCACTGGACAACTCTAATAGAGACGCGTACTGTGGAAATGAGTGCGTCTTTAAGGTACAAAATGGGAAGTAGCCCATTTTAAGCTATAACCTCAGAAAAAAACAGCTGGGACAGTTCATTTATTTTATATCTTTTGTGCCATACTGCCAGTACCTCTAAACAGAAAAAGTAAGCTCCCTCCCCACCCCTTGTTCTCTGTTGTTTGGGTCTAGAAACTAACGTGTGTAATTCCTGTGTTATTCTAAACAAAATTAAATAAGGGAAGGAGGGATGGTCATTCATTTGGCGACGGTTTCCATTTTTGCCAGGGAGCACAGGGAAAAAGAGGTATTTTTGTAATGTGTCCCAACACGTTTTGTCCGAGGTTGTATGTGCACCGTATAGAACGTCCGGCATAGTGTCATTGGTGTCATCGTCATCATCATTATCATGAGCGTTATCGACTTTCGTTGGCGTTGTTCTCATGCATTATTAGGATTACCATCTGCCTACTCTTCCTTGTTCTCCTCCTTCTTTCTTTCCTTTCCAATTTGCTTTTTTTTTTCTACTGACCATCCACCCGGGCATTAAATCAAGTCCAGAAATTTGGAAATGGAAAGGGGTAAATATGTCCTCTCTTAGATTAGGTCGGTGCAATTTTCCGTGTGCCAGATATTTGGAGAAATAATTTACCAAATTTATAGAGATTTATATGGAGACGAAACCAACGTTAACATCTGTCACTGCGTTTTGCTTCGCATACATAACACGAGGAACACATAATCATGCCGCTCAGATAGCAAGATCGACCAAACTAAATCACTTTTAACCTAGGTGACAGCTCTTCCGGCTGTCCTACTAATGCCGCGTCACGCAAAAGCTCATAAATACTATTTAACAATAATGTTTTTGAGATACTCAAAAATATTATTGAATAAAAAACACTGGGCGATTGAAAATTCTTTAGTTTGAACATTTTAATGACGTCACATGTAAAAACCAACTTTCTTTAAATTCACACATTCTGACCGCCCTACTCGCATGAGACACTCAAGAAGCTTTGCTTTGACCCAGTTACAGGAAGGGGTGTATGTAATTGTAACTAAAACACAATCTATTCATTCCAGTTTACGAAAAGCAGGACGCCCACGATCACCTCAGTAACTCCACGATATGGTTTACCTGGTAAGAAGATAAGTAAACTTAAGCTTACTGCTCTTAGTTCTGTGCCGCGACTTTTATACAGACCACGACTACTTGCTCTCACCCTTGTAAATACAGAGAAAAAAATTGGGAAAGCCACAAATCAATTTGTAGAAAGCTAAAGTAAACTATACCACGATGTTTCACAGTTTTTGACATCTGAAAAACCATTAACTAAAAAGTAACAAGTTACTCTAACAACACAAACTGTGGAGATTGTGTAGGAAATTATGCAAAAAGAACTTGTCAGTGGCCTACTGGATAGCGTTGTTCCTTTGGTCACTACACAATCCTCTCTAAAGATATAATTAATACTAATACTTGAGGCAGATCCAGGGAAGGGGGCTTGGGGGCCCAGACCCCCCCCCCCCTTAATTCTTAGACCAGACTGAGGCCTGAAGGGACGAAAAAAAATATTTTGACGCCCCCAACCCCCCTAACCTAAAGGTTTGGATTTGCCACTGAACACTCTGCCCGTTTTTTCCCTTTTGGTTAAATATTTTATTGTAACTGGCTATTTTGATAATGCTAGTGAGTCTGGGTCGATGTTGTATCCAATTGAACTATGGGACTGTTTTGGAGACGCCATCGCCTCATTAACCAAATCATTTGGTTTGTTCTTACAAAGTTACGTGGTAACTGACTAGGTCAAAATTCGTCCCCAAAACAGTAGCATTATGGTGCAATTTAACACAACATCACCTCAGTCTCACACTCAGCCTAAAAATTGCCAATATAAATAGCCCATTTCCGTGGTGCCCCAAGCCTGTGTTTCAAAGCGAGGCTAACTGCGACGATATTGATATGAAAATGAGTTTTTATTCCCATGAAAATAAAACTCATTTTCACAAGAAATGTTTTGGACTTAGCCTTATTTTGAAAGTGAAAGTTGTTGGAATTCTGAAATGGCGTATTCGCATGCTTAAAAGCCAGCTGAACTTGAACTATATTTTCGCTTTTCCCTTCTCGACATCCATTTTTTTGTTCGTTTTTCCTTTTTGAAATCGTAAGGATTATTTTCTTGTACAGGTTACAAGTATAGGGCGAGGTGACTGAAAATACGTCTCCTATTTTAGCTTCGAGTTTGTTGGTGGAAGTAATGCAACATCCCAAAATACCCTCTTCAATTTAATATGCATACCGTTAATTTTGTTTATCTGTTGTAACCTGTTAAGAAAATTGCACATCAAGTGTTATAAATCGTTAACCCAGGGCTATCTATGTCTTCTTTTCACAGGCACACTATTGACAATAAATGGAACGATGTTTACAGATCAAGTAATTGAAACAGAGGATTATAATCCTAATAAGGAGGTCATTGAAAGGTATTTAACATTAACATAGGCCTGGTATGTACAAAATTTGTTCCTCCCACTCTTTCTACGCACACTTAATACAAAACGTGGTAGCAATGAAATTACCCTTCAATTCACTGATGTAACAAGCAAGCTGACTTAAAAGCAGTCTCTCCATCTTGAAGTTTAGTTGTCTGCCTTCTCTGGCCCTTGATTTTGCAATTTTGGTCGCGAACAAAAAGAGCGTGAAACGCGAGTGTTCGGGGACGAAGCGCGATGCACTACGCGAAGATGAAAGAGGAGATGCGAAGCGCCATCTTACCCACCTCTTTTACCCGTCGTCCTTTGCGCTTCGTTGTTGTTTTCAAGGCTAATACACGGGTTCGTGATATGTTTCATTTGTGTTTGTGTTAATGCTCAAACTACGCCTTTGTAAACGCCTTTCGCGGAAGATAGACAATACAATGCGCGAAGAATGAACGCCTTGATGATTATAAGCTTTCATTGAGATTTTGGAGTAGTGTATCTTTCATGGACAGACGTTCATGGCTCTACCATCTTAGTCACGTTCATTCTTGCAGTTTCATTCACAATTAAAAAAAAAAAACTAAAAACTAAAATCGCCCTCTTTGCCGAGACATTAATAAATATCGTCTTGAGTGAATGAACAAATGCAGGCCGATTTTAGGAAGCATTCTAGAGTTCTAGAAAGAAAAGGCCCAAAGGATTTCATTTTTCGACTTGTAGTACGGTGCCTTTAACTTTTCAGAATAAAGCGCACGCAAGCTGAGTACCTCTAGGAAAAATGATCGTTGGTTCAAGTGGTATTTTCCTTTGTTTGATGAATATGATTGCAACTAAGGATAAAGGTAAACCACTACATAAACCAATGGCTTGTCCAACATAAGTTATTTTGTGAAGAAAGGCGATCCCCTTTAATGACCCGTGATTTGCCGCTCAGTCTACACTGTAGCTGGTCATATGTCTGACCAAACTTTACGAACTCATTAATAATCCATGAAGAGAAAACAACGAAGAATGAAGTTTGGATATCGGATCTTGATTATCAAAAACATGAACAAAAAAATGCAAATGTTCGCTTGAAATAAGTTTTTCAAACCTTATTGAACAGTCCGGAATATCCCTAAATTTAAGGACAGGGCCAACTGGTCATGCGACACTTTTCAACCAATGAGAGGGCGCGCTTGTGTTTATCAACAAACAAATCAAAACATCGCCCCAGTGATCAAAAATTTTCAAAACAACGGACGGAGTCGGACAGAATCAGTCATCGTTTTGACTCTCAGGCATATTTTAAAGACTTTTCATGAGGCATACACAATTTTTTTACGTGGACAGCGTATCGGAAGCCATATTGGAAGTGTCTCGTGAAATATTCAGCACATTTTGTGGCTTATTTCTTCTTTTAAACAACGCGATGTATAGGCGAGATTTTGGTCGGTTTTCAAGGTAGGTGAACAAGTGTCTATTATTTTTTCGATTCACAGATTTTTTACGAAGTTCTAGATATTTTTCCTCGATTGTCATATCGATTAACTTTTATCATGTTGAATGTGGGGATGGTAGACAACCTAGAATTTTGGTAGACAATTTTTGAATTCCGAGGTCCAAAACACGTACGTTTTCCACTCCCGGGTTTCTCACAGAGCCGTGTTATTACTTTTTTCGCATTAGTACAAGCCTTTGCCTTTTTTCTTTTCAAGGCCAAAACAACTTTATTAGTCTTATGGATATTCACGTCCAACATTTCGCCTCACTTTACCGAATTTGAAGATCATAAGCGCAACGTAGATACTAACTGCTTTGTTTCTGAAATTCACTAATCTGGAAAGATTTACAGTCAAACCAGGTCAAGCGTACCCCCCAAGAATAAATTAATGAATTTATTATTCAAAAGTTGAATCCGTTGCTAGTTGTAGATTTCAGATTGATCTCTGCACTCTTGCATGTGTAATGAACCGTGAATTCACACGCAAGGCAGTTGTGAAATTTCTACCAGCTCCATTTTCCTGAAATTGATGTAAATGTCTTCTAAGAAGCTTAATCCATTCAAAGATTTCCAATCTGACCAAATACAGAGAAGTTCTCGTAAAATATTCACTGCTCATTAAGCATGCAGAAATGCCGCTTTGAATTTGACACCAGTTACGGGAACGACTAACGGATTCATTTTTCAAATAACCAATTCATTAATAGAATCTTAGGGGGTACGCTTGACTTGGTTTGACTGTAATGTTGTTGGATTCTCCAAATGTTCATCCACCGTTCAAAAACAATCAAAGAAACAAGGCAATTCTCAATTGTAAATGATGTATTTCGCTACTCATTGAACATGCACTGATTATCTGGGATAAAATTAAAACATTGCAGGTACTACAGCAAGCAAAGAAAGCACCAGATGCGTGAAGTCAACACGAAACAACACAAAACACAAAGAAGAAAACTTAATAAATTTGAACTACTTTCTATTCTTGTTATGATGACTGATTCTTTGATTCTTGTCCTGTAGAAGTTAATAGGTAGTACCAATCCTGTTTTGTACGATCTCAACAAATTTTCACGCTCTCTCTAAGGCTATTTTTACACGGTACTAGTTTGCTTCTATCATAAATCTTGCAAGCCATGCCAGTGAACCCACGACCTCTGCGATCGGTCCGGAATCAGTTAGAACACCCCAATGATTCGTTCCTTGCAATGATTAATGCTCTTATTCTCTTACGTGATATGTTTTCTTTGAAATATTAAATGTGAAACCTAGACGAGTCCTGTAAGCTCATCTTTATAATTCTGTCCGACTCCGTCCGTTGTTTTGAAATTTTTGATCACTGGGGCGATGTTTTGATTTGTTTGTTGATAAACACGAGCGCGCCCTCTCATTGGTTGAAAAGTGTCGCGTGACCAGTTGGCCCTGTCCTTAAATTTAGGGATATTCCGGACTGTTGAACTTTTTTTGCTGAGCTCTCGCAGCGGAGCACCATGGGTAAAGAAATGTGGTAAACTACCCATCCGAGAAAATTTGGTAATCACGTGACCGTAGACCGCCCGCCCGCCCGCCCGCCCGCCCTACCGTCTCCAAAATGCAACTCAAGGTTTTATTTGGAAAGAAATCGCCTGGCCGCCCGGACTTTTAGAAAGAAAAAACAACAACAAAGTCGTGTCTTTTTCGACGTTATTTGAGAGAAAGAGCTGGAGCAAGTGATTGAAAACAAAAGAGACGAATTTTGTAGGAAGTAGAATTCAAAGCGGCTGTGAGACAATGAGAAATGCTAGCGGCCAGCAAGGTGAAAATGAGCGGCATCGAAAAATAAAAGCGAAGAACACAGGAGACAAAATATTGGGTAAGCACATACGACAATTCCTCCACAAAAATAATGTGTAACTAGGAAGTTTTAGTCCTACAAAACAGCGTTGTAGTTGTGCAAAACAACGGCAAAGAAAGACAAAAAGCGTGCTGCACGTGCAAATTTTTTTTTTGCTAATTAGAAAAAAGTGTACTGCACGTGCAATCTGTTTTTTTGCTAATTAGATCTATTGTTCTTGATGCCATTTTCATTGCTCTCCCCGTTTAGCATTACAAGATTTAATTTTTTTGTTTACAAGTATTATTAACCAGAGCTTCGCTTTTAACCCCGGCTAAATCTATATATTAAGCTATATCAAAAAATTCAAACCGTGGTTTTCCCGAAATCCAGGCACTTCAAAGTTGGTATAATAAACTTGCCTGAACTTTGCCTTTTCAACTTCTGCTTGGTGTCTTAATAGCGTATAAAAAGAAAAAACTTCGTTTCTTGCATTGTTTACTCAGGTTTTGCATCCTAAGTTATTGTTGTAATTCTGTTTTCGGTGTTGTTTTCAGGGTATATGCTGGTGCTGGTCTCTGTGAAATATACAACACTAGCTCTAAAGAACTGTAAGTAACATCTGTTCTTTACGTTGTTTTTGATGTTGTTGTTGTTGTTGTTGGTGGTGTTTTATTTTTCTGAATTCATAATAATCCAGGATTTTCCCTGGAAACACATAGGTCATACATGTAGTTGTAATTTTTTGTTCTAAATGAAGGAGGCTGAATGGATGTACACAAGGAACTTTGTTAATTCGAGAGAACAGTGACTTGCATTGCAGTGCTCATGTTTGGAAAAGACGATAAGTGTTGGAATGATCCCTGACAATGTTCCCTGAAGCGTTTTGAACGACGCGGCGCTTGCTTTTAGATGTTAACACACTCGGAATTTCAGAGGAAAATGTCATATACCAAGAGAAAATAATTGTTCCCTCTTGCATTTACTTCACTTCCATCGTCTTAGAAATAGAGAGATTTACAATTGACATCACGCATCAACACATCACACCCTTTGATTGACAGCTACCGATTGGTTTACAAGAGTAGTCGGCATTTTGCTGGCTTTCCGGATGTTTATTTAATTATTGTGCAGTGCATTTAAAAACTGGGCACTGTAAGTACATATCGCAAAAGACAATAGCATTCTGGGGCGATGATGTATCTGGCTGTTTGATGTTCCTTTTCTTCCACATTTAGGTACGGTGTGAAAATCGTTGATTCAACAGCTGGGTTCATAAAATGTAAACCTAATTCAACAATCGTAGGTAATCACTGAACGTTTTGCTTTTTACGACGGTACAAGTTCTTGTTTTGGCACGTCCACTGTTGGCTCGGTTTGTAACATGATTGCGTTTGTTCTTCTAAAGGCTCTCAAAGAGTTTCCTTTATTGTCTCTGGTTACGGTCGATCGCAGATGTCCAGAGAAGCCATCTCAGTTGATTCCCAGGACAGGCTTTATGTCTTCCAAACGCACGCAGGTGAGAGATCATTTCAAGCGTTTTTGATGTAACGAAAATAGCTGTTAGTACAAATTCTCAAATAATTTGCAGAACTGAAGTCATTCAGGGTAATAATGATTCTTAAGGTGATGTTACACGGGACGATTCGCAAGGACGATATTAGGCTGATTTAGCAACAGAAGGGGAACGTCAGTTGACGACGGCGCGCGCAAATCAAATAACTGGCTTGACCAATCGCAGAGCGGCAAATTGATCACCGGAAGTCGTGTTTAGTCCTTTCCGCGCGCTTTCCCGTCGTCAACTGACGTTCCCGTCCTGTTGCTAAATCGGCCTATTTAGGGCACCGCAACGTAGTGTACGTACGCAGTGTACGCACTGCGTACACTGCGAAATAATATAGTTGTTAGAAATCATCTCATCTTTTACTTGAAATTATTGTTTCTCTTAAGGCGATTACATCTGTGTAATACGCATGTGATCATAACCATTTAACTTGCGGACCTAGTTCAAACGTCGCATTTCACATGTGCCGAATCTAACGCAAACGAGAAATAGACGTTTAAGTTATTTTGCCTCAATTCCCCTGCCCTAATTATTGACCCTAGGGCTCACATTTATTTATATTGTGCAGATGTTGAAGATGCGAGTCCTTCTGTTGGCAGCATTGCTGGTGGTACAATTCTCACTATAACCGGCAAAGGATTTGACAAGCATGCCAAGAATATTTCAGTTCATGTAGCAGGTAATCTAGAGTTGTTCTTGCTGTTGTTATGCTTTGGTTTCCAAGTCTTTTCATGGAATTCTTGGGTATATACAGCCAAACTGGGTGGGAGAGTGGGAGGGGAGAGTAGGTAGCACGTTAGAAATCACTTCGAGCAAAACCAGTCAAACCTTTGGCCATTGTTTAACACTTTTTTTGTAATATTTTGGTTTTATCCAAAATGACGGCTGCTTGGAGATCATGACGTGGTTTCCCAGTAATATGGTATCATTACTCCAACCGAATAAGCTCTGCGTTTAGATGTTTGCTTGTGATTGAGCCCTGAAATTCCTGAATTTAATTGGGGTAGAGAAATCCTTCCCTCTCGGTCTCAGAATATCAAAAAATAGCGCAGTCTTAATATGGTTTTAAAAGGACTTATGATTGCCTGAAGAGGAAATATATCTCAATCTGAAAATGAGTCTCCTGCGTTCAGGGCCATTTTTATAAACACGTATCTACAATGTACTAACAAAACAAAGAATCTACACAAGATGCCTTTTGTTTCCTGCAGGCGTACCGTGCAAAGTATTGGACATGCAAAGTGAAGTTATCAAATGTCAAACAAATGCAGCCTCTCAACCATTGTCAGATGGGGAAAACATTTACCCAGGTTAGATATATGCATCGTAGTCGTAAAAACCCTTGAATGCAGTGGTCCTTTCAACGCGTAAATGAAAGCGACTGGATCCTTCTTACCGCGGGATCTCTTATGTAGAGATGCTAGAGCTAGGTGTCTCACTTGAAGTGGAAATAGAAACAAAACTGAATCCAAGGCTGGCAATACGGCAAAGGGCTGATTTATTTGAGGCCATAAAATTAGCCTCCCTCGGGGCCAAAGCTACACTGAAAGAAAGTACTTTAAGAGGTCAATGAACAATTGATAGCATGATAGATAGGTAAATAGTTATACAATAAAGTGATCGATAAGGAACAGTTCAACGTTCATCCTAGCGTTTTAAACCATCAGGCGAAAGAGTTTTGCCTCTATTTAAGGGAAACTTCTCTTGCTGTACGCTAACGGCGTGTCATACCAAGTGTCATCAAATATTAGTTGCCGTTATAGTATTCCCTTTTAGTGTAGCTGTGGCCCTGAGGAAGGCTTATTTTGTTAGCCGAAATATTGACCCCAAATAAATCAGCCCTTTGACGCATTGCCAGCCTTGCATTCAGTTTTGTTTTAAGTATTATATAGTCGATTATATATTTTTTCTCAGATTCAATAATAATTCATGAAGAAAATATGAGTTATCCCCCCCTTCCCCCATCCCTTTTTTTGTCCTGGCAGAGAAATAGAGAATCAAAGAAAATAGAGAGATTGAGCAACGACGAAGGTAAGGAGAATTGCGAAAAAGATTAAAACCAAATGATAAAAAATGTTTAGATCTCGTTGTTTTGTATATTTCTTTGCCATCTTTGCTTCACTGCAACGTAAAACCTTCTAATTTCACGTTTTATGGAGAATGTTAACACAGGGCAACGATATTTTTCTTTCTAGCTTTTTTGTCTGAACTCAGATAAATCCTTTAAAAAATCGGCCAACATTTTGCAACTGGGACAAATGGAATAAGAGCGATAAATTGTGAAATAGCGCTATAATTCACTTTTTAAGTGGTGTTTTCTCCTCTGTTGCTGTCGTGATTGTTCATTCATCGCACTATGGCTGCAAGAAATGTTCTTCGACGTGTAAGTATTCTTTTATACCTATAACTCTTAACCTGTTTACATTTCTCTAGGAAACAGAGGCTTGTTACGAGAAGTATGGACAAACACAAGACCCTCATCTGTCTCGGCCGTTGGAAGACTGAATACATCGGCCTCTGACTACCACTCGGAAGTTGTTTCCGAGTCAAGCTCTCCTACCCAAGCCTCTTTTGGTGAATCATCGTCATTCAGTGATCGCTACCGAGGTTTCTTCGTCCCTCCTTCGGATAATAATTATACTTTTTTCATTCAGGCAGATGATCAGGCAGAGTTATATTTGAGTTTGAACGAATCAGCAGCTGCTAAGGTAATTTTGACAGTAAGCAAGTTACGACCTAAACGAATTGTTGATTATTGTGATGATTAACTCTGAAGGGGTGAGACAGTCACTGGTGATAAAATATCAATGGCGAGAATCCCAACTTGTCGAAGGCAAACCAGTTGGCTATTTTTAATCATGAGCGATGAATTGAAGTCGTGTCTACCGAAAGTATCTCTTGCCTAGTCATGTCTAGAGTTGTTACTGGGACTCTAGGCTATTCCAGCTCCCTAAATTAAAGCGTTCAGCCATGCTGCCTCCTACATTCTTAAGTTTATGACTCTCCTAATGCTCAGCGGCAAGCCACCCGACCACAGCTAGGGTTCTGAAATTTCCGCCAACTCTCAAATGTGGCTTAGGTGGAAATGCCAGGGTTAGAAAATAGTCCCGTTATGGTTGGTAGTTTGGGACAATTAGATTTTCATGCTGAGCAAGTGACTTTTTAAAGCTTACTTTTCCAATGGGCAAGAGTCCAGGGCCCGGTTGCATAAAACGTCCGTAACAAATACGGGTACACGTACGTGCACTCGTAACTTAAGTGAGTTGCATTAAATCACTTAAGTGGTCCACTTAGGGAATTCACATAAGTGGTTGCACTTACGATTTTCGTAAGTGTTCACTTAAGTGTCGTTTATGCAACAGAAATTGCGGGTGTTGCATAAAACTTTTTTTACGGGAAAAATAGCACGTAAATTTACGGGACCTATGTAGGTCCCGTATCGTTACTGTTTTTACTAAATTCAACGAGATCTTTTACTGAGAGTGAAAAGAAGTAATTTTTCCTCACGTAATTCGTGGTAATGCGCTTTGTTAACCTTTTATCTGCACTTTAAAGCCGACTTTGTGAAAAAAGAAGAAGAACTATCATTTCCAGTAGACATTGAAGAAAAATAACGTCTGCATGCAAATTTCATTTTTTTGAGAGGCTTAAACGTGTTCGAAACGACTTAAAACTTTCTTTTCACTCACCGATGGTTAGCCTAAAAAAAAAGAGTGAGTCATTAATAAAGTACTATATCAAGGTTACGTGTGGCCTTAAGTGAGCCCGTAAGTTATTTACCACGTAAAACAGAAACTTACGAGAGTGCTAAGTGCGTTCCATGCAACACCCGTAAGTGTACCCATAACGGATTCGTAAGTGACCTACTTAAGTGGGCACTTAAGTGTAGGTTTTATGCAACCGGGCCCAGGCACGTCATCCTCTAACAAAATCGTTAACTAAGATGAGAAGGAAGTTGCTTCGAGCGAGAGCTGCATGTCCAAAGGATAAGCTGGAAATCAATTTTTTTTTTCAAGACCTGAGATTGTAACACATGAATAGGTTATTGCGCCGCTTCTTGCTTGGCCAGTTTTTTAACCTTCAACGTTTACCTGGGCTGTAACTTGCTTTTTGTCGAACTTAGAATTCCTTAAGGAAGGAGCTGAAATTTCTCGTGCTTTCTTTGTAGACAATGATCGCATCCTGTTCCAAGCCAACAACAAGTTGGACAACCTATGCCGAGCAGAAATCAGCGGTATTCTCTCTAAAGAGAGGACGACGCTATTACATCGAGTCTCTGCACGTACAGGATGCTGGGAAGAGTCACGTGTCCATTGGAGTTAAACTGCAGAAGACACGTTTTGTTAACTCGCAAATTGGCGCAGCTGTGAATGAAAAACAGGAGATCCGCATGAGTTCTGTAAAACACCCAGACATACAAGTGAGTAAGATTCTTTGTAGTCTATGCGCGCGGGCCGAGAGGCCTAAACCGCGAAAACTTGTCCTAGTTTCAGGAGTTGAAAGTATACACGAGTTGGATATCCACTTGCCCCCTCTAATCCCTGAAAGGAAAAATGTTTCTCCTTTAAATAGCTATCCCGTCAGAATTATGGCGCCAGTACTCAATTACACACCTGGTATTGTCAAAAAAAGTTTCGTCTCTAATGGATTACCGGAAGACCGAACACAATTAATGTTGAACCTCGTGTATGCCAGATGCGAATCTGGAGGCGTTGACATTTGGACTAATATATCTTCACCGCCTTCGTTTACATACCGAGACGACAGAAAAAACCCGGCTCCACGGACTATTTCGAGACCTTACCCTAAAAGAATGGCAAAGTGTATTTCATGTCGTTGCTGTCGTTAATTCCTAAGCGGATCAAAACTTTCCTAATCGATGTTTACGGCGTTGGCCTGGTCAAAAGGGAAGAGAAAGTGATGACGTCATTAAAACTAAGTTTGTGAAGGATCAAGAAGAAAAATGTCCACTTGCTAAAAATCAGCCTGGTTGGTGCAAATTGGTGGGGGGATATAAGCACCGTTATGCTTCATTGACTTAGGCCTGGTTCATAAACGTTACTATCCAAGCTTATTTTTGAAGGATCTTATGGAGCAAGGAGAAATATGCCAACTAATCGAATAATTTCGCAATTTGTGTTTTTTTGTGACGTCACTCCTCTTTTTTCTATTTGCGTACAACAAATGTCTAGGCGTCTCTACGCCTGATTTTATTTTAGTTGCATGCCGGCCTTATCGACGAGACGTGTCTTTCCTAAACTTAAAATCCGGTTGACTATTTGTAGGTGATAAATATCACCAAGTGGGATGACGGGAAAAAGTTTGAAGTGCAAGACGTGGAGGTGATATCCTGCAAAAGAACCCAAGGTAAATACTGGTCAATATGTTACCAAGGTACCAAGGACCCTGGGAACTAGGTTAACATTCAGACAGGAAAATAGCAGATAAAATCCCAATAATTTAGTAACTCCCTGCAACCAGAATCTTTCAGTCAGTGATGAATGCCTGTGGTTCTCTGTATACGATCGTTGATTTTGCGACTAACCATGGTCATTCGCAACCTTGTTTCCAGGGTTCTTGAAAACGTGTTTGAATCAGCTGACGTTTAACTCGTCTATAAATGGTCTTCAAAAGGATCTGTACGACTTACTGTCTTAAACAATGACGTAGTGTGAATGCAGCATTATTGTCGCAGTGCGTGAAATTAAAGCTATCGTTTTAAGGAACCGCACTGTATTTGGCTTGACGTAAGAATTTTAGTTGCAATTTTAATTGATTTTACAGGAAACGATACCAATTGCACAGATGCATTTTCCGTGAGCTATGGAGGACTAAATATTGCACCTGTATTGGTGAATAACATGACTGCGAAAAATCTCCAACAAGCGCTCAACAATCTAACAAGCATCAAAAAACGAGGACGCGTTGGCGTGACTGAGGTGATCACAGGGAACAATACTATGTCATACAGAGTCACTTTCCACTTTGACGATCCAACTGACACACAGATGCTGCTAAACAACACTTTAGGTTCAAATGGGACATCTGTTAAAATCACGCATTTCCAGAAAGGTAAGATACTGAGGAGTATATAATCACATCTTTTTATGACGGGTTCCGGTGGTACGTACTGGCACTAAGGACCTGTTTACATGGTGGTGGGGGACCGCAGGTTGGTGAGGTAACCCGCTTAGGTGGGGTAACCCGCCTGTCTATATAATATCTCATTTTAATATGATCACGTTTACATGATAAGCGGGGTGAGTCGCCACATGTTACCTCACCTATCTGGGGTCCCCCAACTCTATGTAAACAGGCGCTAAGTGTCGGTCTTTGAGAGGTGTGCGTAGAGAGGTAAAGAGAAAGTCTTGACGGTTTCTATTGTAAGGGAATTGACTGTTTTTGAAAGCAGTTTCCCACGGCAGGTTGTCACTCATTTAGAGGCAGTCAAGTAGTCCTTTAGGTAAACATTTAATTTCGTTGAAGATACCTTCGTGGTTTTTCTGTTAAATTCTCAGCAACTGAACCATTTGGGTTACATTTTGTTTTAAAACGGACTTAGTTCTGCGAGCTGGTACTGAAAGCAGCCTCATGGAAACCAACTTGCTGTTTTGTGTAACGATAAGTGCAGCGTTTTGCGTCCATATCTACAGTTTCATGTTTCGGATTCATGTTTTTCCTCAGGGCCCAGTTGTTCGAAAGCAGATTAGTGCTTAACCCGGGGTTAAATTTAACCCTGGTTTCTTTTTCTTGTGCTCAAAAGCATTTTCTCGGATAAATTTCTCTGTTATTTTTAGAGCTTCCAATCATCAAACTGTTGACAAAAAGAATGAAAACTGAAATGCTTTTTAAGCTTTCAAATCTGAATTCAAATCTCCCACTAACCCTGGGTTATCTTAACCCAGCTTTGAACAACTCGGCCCAGATCTTGAAACAAAGTCAGTTTCTCCCTTATTTAAGTTATCGATACACCTCCTTAGGCGACTTATACTTTGATTCTTTGATCTTTCCTTGCAAGCGATGATTGCGCTATCCGGACTATCGCAGGGAAAAGTTGTGAGATAGCGAAGTTCTTTTGTTTTCTAGGTGTCCCTGGAAATTACTGGTTTAAGCTTTCTCTGGCGGGAAGAACAACAAACAGCATCCATATAAACGCCGAAGCGAGCGATTTAAAACAGGAACTGCAAAACATGACAGGCTGGTACTGTAGTTACCAGACTACACAAGAACGTGCGTACTATTATAACGGATTTGAGAAGTCGCCCCAGGGCCCTTTGTGGGGTGAACGAGTTTTCAAGACGAGGCCGAACTGTGGACGGTTTTCCTTAAAAAATCCAAAATATTTGTTCTATGGTGGACAGACGAAGGATATTTTGGGGAGAGTGTTGAAGGGATACGATGTTGCAAGATACAAACAGGTGCAATCCGTGTCCATTTTAACTTAGAATCGCCATTAAGATTCTCAAAATGAAAGTTTTTAAATAGTGCGTCCATTCCTTGCGTATTTCCAGATATGCTAGAAATGCCACACCTTATAGTTCTGCTGGGAGTACTTAGAGAAGGTATTGGAGTTCCTCTGTTGTCTGGAATAAGTTTGTATATAAAACTCTCCTGAATCTGCGAAATTTTTTGGCTATAATAGGGTTGGAACCCTAAATTGGTTCCTGTGAAAGGCACAAAATTTGCTTCTTCTTAAAATTACACTTCCGTTAAAAATGTCCTACCTTAGTGTTCATTAAGACACGATGTTCTGCAAGAACACACTGAGTCAAATCTGCCGAAAGCAGACATTATACGTCCATTTGTTAACCGCGTACTTATTAATCTTTTCCTGTAGCTCTGCTTTTCATACAAAGGAAAGATGAAAAACTACATCAAAGTTTATATCTCATACACGGACACGTCTGGCTCTGACCAGGCGAGATGGCGAACATACAGCGTTGTCACTATTTATGATAACTCTTGGCATCAGCTGTGTACGAACATTCACGATCTGGTCTCCAATGACAAGTCTCTATTAATAAACACGCGCTTTAAGACTTACGTGGAGGTTATCACCTTGGATTACCGGGGAGTTGACTTTTATGTTGATGACATTTTCATCTGGAGAGATGCTGTCAGAGGTGAGATTCATTACTCGCTAAAATGTCAAAATGCCATTCCTTTGATTTACAAATTATATAACCCAATGTTCTGCAGTTCACAACTAGGTTAACAAAATACTGTTACATAGCAAAATATAGGACAAGTATGAACAGAATTCGAAATAAGTATTACCTAAAACTTCATATCGAATGTGAAGAGCAAAGTAAAGATCCCACTTGCTTTTTATATTTATCTATTTTTTTGCTGAGACCTCTTAAGGCCTCGAGATCTCTAAAAGTAAGTAAGCCCAAAAACCTTTCATTTGCTAAAGCGGTTTGAGGTAACTTCAGCACTAAAGAGTTTGCTCCGAACGCGCTATACTGCCTGGACACAAGTTACTCCTAAAGCAATCCGTTGACTCGGAGCTGGCTATCGAGATATGCCACCCATTACCAGAGGATTTATTGCGGCTTTGAATATTCAAAAGTTAAAGTAGCTCTAGAGCCTTTGGACGGAAATTTGTTGAAAACTTTTTGAAAGGACATTTCACACGTAGAAGTGCAAAATATGCTGCAGACCTTCTGGACTCAGCTCAGCCTAGCTTTGGGGCTGAACAACTCAAGACGGGATTTGTCCCAAGCTTTGATATGTTACATGTTTTGGACAGTTTTTGTCTTTTTCCAGTGCAAAGACTTCTTCAGGCCGCAGAGCCCGGTGGCAACATCATGGAATCTGTGGACGTTCAAAAGCTGGGACCAAGTGCTTGGTCTGTCTCTCTAACTCCCTCTTCCTGTGGGACTGGACTCGAGCTTCTACAGATCGCACAAGCGCAGGTTATCAGCGGTAACACCTCATCTGGCCATGCTCTATTTAAGCCTATCAACGCGACAGAAAACTCGACCATATTAGTGTCGCGAGAGCAGGCTGCTACTCCACCTATTGGTGGAACGTTCGACCTTGGTTTGCAAGGGGAGATTGTCAAAGGTAATTAGCAGTATGTATAGCGAGGTAAATTTGAGGTGAATGAAATATCTTGACATTGAAATAATCTTTAAATTAGTTTTTTGGTTGGTGATAGCAGAATACATCGAAGTTTGTCTATAGCATGCAGGAGGAAATTGACGTGGGCTATTTAACAATTATTCCTCGAGCCCGAATGGGCTGCGAGTCAATAGCCCATGAGACCCAAGGCCGAATGGGCTTTTGACTCAGAGGCCATAAGGGCGAGAGGAATAATTGTTTTAGTAAAATCCAACTAGTTGGTCAAAAATGTCAAGACAAAACAACTTTAGCTAGTTAAAGCTAGACTTTAATCCTTTTTTTGCCGCCAAAAAGCCGGCGCTTTTCGCTACTAGTGGGCTATAACATATAGCCTGGTAGTAGCTCAACCAATCATAACGCAGCATTGATGATAGACCACTACTTGGATTTTACTAACAACGAAATAGACCCTTTGCAACTCGTTGCTACTCGGCGCAATCACGTGACCTGCTTGTATAAAATCATCATGGTCAACATCTCAAAAGTACTTTGGATGGAAAGAAAAGGAGAACGTTAGATAGAAAGCGAATTTTGAGATGACTAACATAAATGATAAAGATTTTATGGGTGCTGCAGCTGGAGTGTCTCTGGGTACGTGTGGTCCAGTGACTATTTCCGTTCATTCATAATTATGGCGTTTTCTCCGTCATTCAAACGACTTCAAAGTCTTATTGTTAAGAGTTAAAAACCTAAAAAAAAAAATAATAAGGCAGACTCACTTTTTGGCTCTCGGGTCGTTTTAGGGTTGTATCCTTTAAATTTAGCTTAGAAAAGTCACGTGATCCTACACCGCCTTTATCTCCAACCTTCGAATCGCAGCACAATTGGCTCTTTCTTACGTTTACCTGATCCTGTAAGGCCATTGTAATCCATGTTGTTTTTTTTATAAGGTATTCCTGCGAACGTATCTCAGGACAAACTACAGTTTATTCTTGAAAACAATTTTAACATCGGCAAGGTCAGGGTAAATCGCGTTGGTACATGCGCATCCAGTAGCTGGACAGTTGAGTGGGCCACAACAGGAGGAGATCAACCATCTATTGAAGTCAATGGAACCTGTTTAACGGGAAACAACGTGTCAGTTCAAGCAACTACAATTGATGACGGAGGGCTGTTTTTGAGGCCAATACCAGGGGATATGCTGAGAGTGGCCGAGATGAAACCACAGGTGAGAGAGGCAGTTCTTTGTAACTGACTTAAGTTATAATTCGCATGTTTGTAATTATGAAAAGAGGGTACACAGCTCCTTAAAATGACACCAGTTAAGTACTTCCCTTTAAAAGGGAGACCTACACTTGGAACCATCGCAGAGAAATCCATTAGTCGATGCTAGACTTTATAGGCGTGCCATTTAGCTTTTAAGGGTGCAGCTGGGTGTTTTAATACCGCGTAGCCACACTTGCCAAGCAGCCACGTAACCTCGTAGCTACATAGCTGCGTAGCCGTGTAGCCAACTAGCCGCGTAGTTGCAAGGGCACGCAGCCTCGTAGACGCATATGCGCGTAGCCATGCAGCCGTGTAGCTACGCAGCAACGTTGCCAGGTAGTCGCGTAGCCACGTAACCAAGTAGCCACGCAACCGCGTAACCACCTAGCTGCATAGTCACGTAGACACGTTGCCGCGTAGCCACGAAGCCACCTAACCACGTTCAGTTGAAAGGGTACATATATTTTGAGCGGCGGGGTATTTTGCTGGTATTTACATGTAGTGCTCACTTTGTGTCTCATGTAGCTCTTTAGTTCAAGCATCCAACAGGTTGAATCTCATACATAGATTTTCTAAACAACACAGGCGAGCGCGATTAAGTAAGTTTTGTAAGGGTTCTTAATACGCCTATATCTTAAAAGCTCCACTTTTGGCGAAATTTGCTTAAGCCTTATTTACCAGACCTTTTAGTTACACTTAGTTCGTTGGTATGTTGTATTAATTCCTGAAACATTTTTTTGATAGGTGACAGTTTCTTTGAACAGCATACCCTCCAGTTGCTCCAAAAGGCAATGCTCTTTCACGTTTTCATCTCGTTCCACTCCAGCTCTCACCTCTGTATCACCACAGAGGGGAGCTCCTGGAACTGAAATAACGCTGACCGGAAGTGGCTTCAGTTCAAGCGTAGCAGAAGTGAACGTCACTATTGGCGGAATTACCTGTCACGTAACAAGCGCTAGCTTAAGCAGCATTACTTGTGTCACTGGCCAATCAATCGGCGGCTCTCAGGAGATTATCGTGTTAATAGCTGACAAGGGTGTTGCGAAGCCTGCGAGTGGAAAAGTCTTGTTCACTTATCCGGTTATCGTAAATGAAATACAGCCACGGCGGGGAAGTAGCGGTGGAGGAACAGTTGTTACTTTAAAGGGTAATGGGTTTGGAGCGACTTTAAATATAAGCCGCGTGTTGATTGGCGGTTCAATCTGCAACATTATCCACTCCAACTTGACAGAGTTAATGTGTGTCACGTCATCTCATGCTCCAGGTAACGCTTCCGTACATGTCACGGTTGGCAGTGAAGTTGGGACGTTGTTGAACGCTTTCGTGTTCGACTCAGGAATGACTCCAACAGTGTCATCGCTCAGTGTCTCACAAGGAAGCGTAAGCGGCAGCGAAGAGTTAGTGATCCACGGAAGTGGGTTTGAAGATTCAAAAACCTCCGTTCATATAGGACCTAATCCGTGTAATGTGACTTCACTTTACAGTACTCTTATAAAATGTACTACACCTGCAAATGCTCCTGGGATTTATGACGTAAAGGTGTATGTTAATGGGAAGGGTTATGCTGTGGATTCTCGCTCGCTTGAATCCAAACTTCCGCATTTCACGTATGTCCTCGAAATAACTGGCATCTCGCCTCAGTACGGCTCAATATTTGGGGGAACTATCGTAACTGTCACTGGCCACGGATTCAGTGATAACAATGCAGCAAATGTAGTGGACATTGGAGATGTTCCTTGTAAGGTCTTGTCTAGTAAGAGTACCGAAATCGTGTGCAAGACTGGTGCTGCATATACTAATCATACTGTGGATAACACAGGACAACACCCAGGTAAGAGAAAAAAAGGGAAATTTAGGTTTCGTCTTAAAGCCATACAAACAAAAAGTGATTCCCTTGGCCATAGATATCGATGCAGGTCTCCATTTTTCAAAACAGGGTATTGGAAAAAGGAAATCCCTATTTGTGATAATAATGGGGAAATCTTTTTTTCTTATAAGCTCAGTTTCAGTTTCTTCTAGGTTCTCGGAGATTTGTCTGCCACATGCAAAAATAGAGTGTTTTCACTCAAGTGCGCCAGCATCTATGCAAATGTATTGGAACAAAAGAAAGCGTTTACATAGGAAAGGGTTCAACTCCCACAGGACTTGTCTGGAACACCAACATGGTCGCCGTTTCATTGCGTTGGAACACCAATATGGCCGCCGTGGGTTCATGTGGAAACACTCTAAAATAGGTTAAAAATAGTAAAAATAATGGGCCTCCTGTTTCGCTTCAGTGACAACAGTAATAACCTGCTGGATTTGTTTGCAAAGTGAGAATTGTTCCACTTTTGTTAGCAACAACCTTTATTTCTTTCTTAAAAGTTTCAAGAGTATATAATAGTTAGACAGTTATGTAAATGATTGGTTAAAGACTTGTTTCATTAGCACGTTATTAGTTCCTTAATTGCTTCACTCGCGTGTTGTAGCCTTTATTTTGACTGTTACGTGGACTGCTCACGGTCCTGTAATTTTTCTGTAAGATCGAGTGGTTTGCGTTACGGGCGGCCACTTTTGTTTCAGTTGTACTGAGGAGACTGGCATTGGACATTAATAGCGGTGATGGGAGGGAGGACTCCAGAGGGGCAAGAAATTTTTCTTGCATCCTTCCAAACATCTGATACCAAGGGAAGGTGCTCGTTGCCGACGATCTTACGGGAAAATAGGGGAGTGTAAACAGAATAGAAGTTACTTCACTTTCATCCAGTCTTATTTGTTTTCAGAATACGGTATTGGCTACGGCTGGAACCCTCAGACGATTTTGATCAATGTTGGAGATTTTGTTAAGGTAGTAAGAACTGCTTGGGCCCTGTATTAAAAAAGAGCATATAATGGATCAGAGAGGGGATCTTAGGGCGTTGGCCGGGATGTGTACATTTCTCTGAAGTTATTTTTAGAGGTTGTAATTAAAAAGAAGTCTCATTCCTGAGACGTCCGCACGTTTTAATCAAGTCCACAAAGCAAGTCCTCAAAGCAAAAATGCGGAATATTGTAATGGCGATTGTTGAATTCTCCCTAGACAACGCTAAATAAAAGTTTGCGGACCTCTCCGGAAACCAACTTTGGTGTAATTGAAGCTTTTGATTGGTCTAAAAATAACTTTGGTGAAATTCACGTATCCTAAGGGTCTAGACTGGTCGTTTCCCTCTCTGTCCCATTATACCGGTTGAAAAACGAGGTGCAGCCGAGAATTATGAAGCATTCGTGAGATGTGTGGATATCATAAAAAACTCTTTTAAGAGTGCTATAAGTTCTTAAATTCATGAGGAATAATTCTTTGTCACGGTATGTAATAATTTTCTTGATTAATAACAGTGTTTTCCAAGGGAGTTCGTTAATCAAACACTGGAAAGAGTATTTTACTTTATGTTAAACAATTTACAGTATTTCATTAAAGATATTTCACCGTTTCTGGTTGGTTCAAATTCCCTCGCTAATTCGTCATAACCATCCGGTGTTGACCAAGTCCTGAATAGGTCTGTTGATGATCAGTGACTGACGTTTCAGCAATAAGTCATTCACTTTGCTTAGGTTGGGGTAACATTAGTCACTGCCAGCAACAGTTCTATGCAGAAAAATATACTCACCCGGACCATCGCATTCCTGCTTTCTAAAACATCTTTGTATTTTGTTTAACGAATTTATGCTCGGCTCCATTTTTTTTTTTTTAATTTCAGTGGAAATGGACTAGCCCCGAAATGTCGGGCATGTCCTTTGGTGTTCAGCAGACGAGTGATTCAACTGCAACAGTGTACGATGGGAAGGGCTTTAAGAGCGCCCGTAGTGGAAATGGCAATTTCAGTCATCAGTTTAACGTACCTGGAACATACTTCTATTCAAGTGGAGCAGTTGATCCGTATGGTGCAATTAACATGAAAGGAAGAGTTATTGTAAATGATTTGAAAACCAGGTCATTTCATCTTAAGGTTCGAGTTGGAGGATTCTTGGCGCCTTATAACGCTTCCGGTGCTGGTCCACTGTCTTCTAGCTCCAGTGATTGCCAGAAAGGTGTTGATAGTGCGATCCCACAATGTTCCATCCAAGGTCCATTACAAAGCAACCCGGCGTCACTAAGTTTTACATTTTGGAATTGTAGCACTCCGGAAGTAACGTCGATTAGCCCGAACAATGGGACTAGTTCAACAATTCTTACCATAAAAGGCAAGGGTTTTGGAGCGCCCAAATGCTTGAATGAAGTGAAAATCGGATCAACAGACTGTGTAGTTCAAAGTTCTACGGAGAATGAAATCAAGTGTCTTGTGTCTCCTGGAAATCAACTGATCGCTGGTACGTTTCTATTTTTAGAACCCAGCATATCCCGTAAAAGTGTCTTCCATGTGTCAGACATTTTCTGGATCTTGTGCATAATATCACATTTTAGTATTTACCAAATCAGTGACTAGCAATTTTCGCGCGTTTTGATTGACTTCGTTAACTCGGAATATCCTTCGCTATTCACTGTTTTGTGACTGGAGCCAAGATGGCGTCTTGTTTCGAGACAAACAAAGTTCTTACTAAGTGGCGTTTTTAACTTACAAAAAGTTTGTTTTTTATTCTTATCCAACTGATTTGGTAAATACTAAAACAACTAAATACTAAAATTAAATACTAAAATACTAAAACAACTCGGAGTCGGTTCATAGCGCGAGATATATATACCCACCACTTCACCTCCCCTCTGGAAGATAGTTGTATATTATCCATGAGAACGTCATTCAATAACTGTAAATTATTACTTGTGCGTACATCATAACTCGTAATATTTGCGGAAAATAAATATAAGATACCAGTGAGACATTGCCTACGTAAGTTGCGGCATACTTGCTGACTCGTTACTAGTCGACGTTTCTCCTGTCTTTCTTAGCGTTTAAGAGATGCGCGTAGCGGAGATCTTTTAAAAAAGATAGAAAGGGGACTCTTCTATGTCCTTTTCCGTTTATCCTCGCCCCCTTTGCCGAACTGCGTTGCTTGTCAGTCTTATGAGACCGATCCGCGACCGCGTACATATAACAGAAGACAAGGGACGAGTCAGGTACACGTGCCTCTCAAACTCAATTCTCAGTTCTCAATTTCCAATTCATATCCTTTTTTTTCCCTTTCGTTAAGGTCTACCTCACAGTGTTTCCGTGCGTGTAAATAACAGAGGATTGGCTGTCATCAAAGTGGAAAACAAGTTAAGGTCTTCGTTCTTACTACAACCAACAGTCCAGTCTGTTTCCCCACAGTCTGGGTCGGTGAAGGGCGGCTCTATTCTAACCATCAAGGGCGATGGCTTTTCCCTTGACAACAGCCACACTTACGTCCACATTGGTGGAGCCGCCTGCAAAATTGATTCCATTTCATACAATCAAATCCGATGCAAGACGTCCGAGAAGAGCGCCTCGCAAGCCCTCGATGTCGAAGTGAAAGTCAATGGTGTGGAGGCTCACTGTAGTTCCATCTTTAGCTGTTCATTCACTTATTCAACCTCGAAAACTCCAAAAGTAGACTCTGTAGAACCATCGGCAATTGTCGGAACCGATAATGTGATTCGTATTTATGGTTCAGGATTTCCAAGCGAGATGTCGGATTTAGACGTACAGATCGGTAACATTTCTTGTACCGTTATGTCTTCCTCGCAGTACTCAGCATCCTGTCGACTTGGACCGATTGTGGCAGGAAAACACGCTTTGAGAATTCACGTAGCTGGCCAAGGACTTGCGACGTTTGAGGCTGGCGCGTCATCGACGATTGACAGCCTCGCTGCGGTGTCGAGTCTAACACCAGTTGAAGGAAGCATTATGGGCGGGACTGAACTGTCAATCAAAGGGAGCGGGTTTGACCCAACCGAAGGTCGCACCACAATTCAGATTGGGGCCCACTACTGTACTGTTACAAGCGTAACGCCATCGGAGGTTGGTTGCATAACCTCCGCTCACTCTCCAGGATCATTTGAGGTACTGACAGACAAATGTTATACCAGTCAAATAGCATAGTCAGTGTGATGATACACTAAACTACCTATCGTGCATTCCTCACACTTTTGCAAGTGATATTTTAGCTTCTTATTTTGTCATCCTTGCAAAGGAAATTTATTTGTCTCCTTGTTCATGACAACGGTTCACCGATTTTGTCCTTTTATGATACAAACTATGAAATTAGTATAGTTAATAGTATGATTTGTAGTAATATTTGGCATAAATACCACTAGTGTTATTTCGAAATTGTTCCGTGGGATGCCTGTGGCACTTCCACGGTAAAAATCTGGTTCGGTTGTACCCAAAATTGCAAAGCCAGCCAATAGGATTGCCTAAAATCTTTATCGATTGTCTCTTCCTCCAAGCCGACCAATCAGATTGTACAAAATCTGTATCGATTTTTAATCGATTAGCTTCCTCTGAAGAAAGTCGAATCAGAACTGTCCTTGCCAAATTTGTCGCCCTTGAGTTTTCCCACTCGTGGTTTAGGATGGCTTGTTAACCAGCGAAATCCTTCGAGATACTGGCAAGTCACGAAAGGCGACCTAAGCCAAATTATTTCTTCCCTTCATGATTCTTTTTTGTTTAGGTCTAGCTTTTTCATAAGGTTTTAGTAGCGTCCGGTCGCGGGCCATGATTTCCGATAGATTTTTCTATTCGGAGTTCGCCAGTTTTTGCCGAGCACAGCTAGAGCTCAGTTTTTTTCTTTTTTTATCGAAAACACCTTGACGATGGGAGGTTAAATCGCGTAAATTTCAACTCGTACCCTTGACGATTGACGGTGAAATCGCGAAAATATTGTCTTCGCCGATCGACGACTCGCTTTTGGCATTGATTGGACTTCTGGATGGGACACGGATCAGGACCTTAGTAAACTTATTATACCTTGGGATCAGGGATAATCTTTGGAACTATGTTAACTTTGAGACCTTGGAAACACATTGCAATTAATTTTTAACCGTATCAAGAGCATCTTGGAATATTAAACTTTCATCTTGGATTAAAACATTGTAACTTTATCGAACTTTGTAACCCTGGGTTCGACCCTGGATAAGCAAGCGGATGTTTTGTTTTGTTTTGTTCCATTAACCTAAAACTACGATGTTTATTTCTCTTTGAAAAAGTTACCTGTGGCAAAACACTACCAAGATATGACCTATCTTTATACATATAGTTCCTGTTCAGGTTAATCAGCGAGCATTATGCGCATGTTCTCCATTACTTGTTTCCGTTAACATTCCAATTTAAGTTACACGGCTAAACCTTGTTTTGATGCAAAATAACTTCTTTTTCTTATCCAAATCGTGCTACGAAAATGACTACATAGTGATAGATCAAAACAAGATCAACTCCATCCTTGCGACCACTGACAACTATAAATTTAGCTTGCGTAGCAGGTGTCGAAAGCGGTAGGGGATAGGGAGGAAGCAAAAAGGGGAAGTGGATTGGGGAGAAATAGTAGCCTGCCACGCAGGCTACTATAAATTCAGTCATAAGCACATTAAACCAACCCATACAGGTAACCTACTCATCGATGCTCATAACCTGACACATCTTTCCGGTTTCCCTAATTTTTCCAAATTCAGATAGAACGCCATTATGCTTCCATGGACCAACGCATCCTACGGAAACGACTTTAGGCGTCTTGTTATACGTGATTTCACGAGCCGTTAGGCGAGTCAAATTTGACACAATTTTGAAATATCACGAGTGGTATTTATGCCAAATATCACGTACAAATCATGCTATTATTTGTTTCTACTACCACCCATAGAAGGTTTGTAATTTTCACATGTAGGTATTTTAAATTAAGCTGAAATACCACTGCCCTAAGGCAATCAAACTGCAGAAATTTCTCATGTAGTAGTATAAACTATGAAATTAAATCTGTAATTTAATCAAACCCACCATCACCAAAGGAAGCAATTTTCTGTAAGGTCAATTTTATCTTCGATATGGTTTTGCTCTTTCTTCAATTTCAAACTCGCTGTAGCATGGTTTATCCTAAGTACAAAAATGAACCTTATTACAAGGTAAGAAACAATCAAAGATAACAATACAGAACAATGCCGATTGTTTCCAAGTTCAGGTTGCTTTTCGTGACACGCTTTCTTGTTTACCCAAGTGAAATTATCTTTTTTAAGGTCACTGTGACAGCAAACGCGCAACAGTTCCCCCGCCTCCGTTATTTGTACCGAAAACTGGCCACTCCTTATGTCACGTTAGTATCTCCTGCCCAAGGAAAAATTGGTCAGACAGTCACCATTTCCGGTTCCGGTTTCAGCACAGATACAGCCAACATGCGCGTTACAATTGCCAACAAATCCTGCAGTGTTTTGAGCAGCACGAGCACGCGTCTGACCTGCAAACTGGCAAGTAAAGCTGCAGGGGTGTATCACGTTATCCTGCATGTAAAAGGAAAAGGTCTTGCCGCTTATTCGTCACCTGAACCGCTGACATTTACATATGAGATATCATTAGTGAATATTTCGCCAAACGATTGTGGATTCGGAGGTGGTAGAACCGTGTCTGTCACGGGACAAGGATTTGATCAATCCACTACTGTGAAGATTTGCGACAACATTTGTAGAACAATCAACAGCACACTTAACGAGATTCTCTGTGAGGTTCCTGCTTATGTTGGTCAGCCAGGTGACGATGAAATCATGTGTTCCGTTAGCGTAACCGGGAATGGTAAAGTGACGTCTTCTAAACCTAGTTTGTTTACATATCGAGAATCTCTGACGTCACGTATTACGTCAGTAATGCCATCACGTGGTGGAACAGGAGGTGGTGTGGAAATTACCATCAAAGGAAATGGTAAGTGAATCTCAAGTGTTCTTGCACGTTGTATTCAGTATTTTCCTTATCTAAGGACAACTGATGTTATATATATTTATTTATTTACATGCAAGGTGGCAGCGGGTGGAGATAAGTACCTATAGCCTGAGAAAACAGCCGACATTTAGCGAAGCCACCACTGGTTTCCCTGCCAAATGACATCTGAGGAACGAGCACAGAATTTTCATACTGATGATGTGTCAGTACCGAGATCTGGGTAGTGCTTCTGATTGGTCGCCCCGGGAAATTTGCATCTAGCAATCAGAAGCACTACTTAACCAGATTTGGTTATTGGCACGTCATCATTATGGAAATTCTGTTCTTGTTCCTCAGACGTCATTTCAGGAGGACGCCAGTGGTGGCGCAGCAAATGTCGGCCGTTTTCTCAGGCCAAAGTACCTATTGCATACAAACCGGCGTTCACTTTACGGTTAAGGTTAATTTAGTGCTTTATGTATGGGGAGAAAAAATATCACAAGCAAGCGATTAAATACTGTTTTCCCTTCTCTAAAAACCAATAATTCAGTAAATAACTGCGTATATAAACATAACTAAGGCGAGACTTTTGTTTCCTTCAAAGGATTCAGTACAAGCCAAGACGGTAACAGAGTGACAATCGCTAGTGTCCCTTGCAAAGTTACTTTCTTCTCTCTTACCGAGATCCGCTGTGTAACAGGACCGCGATCGGGTGACATACAAAGTAAAGTACGAATTGAGGTTGACAACCGTGGAATTGCGACCCAGGACCGCGCAGATTTTCAGTACATAGATCTGTGGTCGTCCCCGTTCACCTGGGGCTACAAGAGCCCTCCAGAAAAGGGAGAGGCTGTTGTAATTTTGAAAGGACAAACGATTCTGCTAGACGAAGATACTCCTGTTTTCTCAATTCTCGTCATCAGAGGACAGCTTATTTTCGACGAAAAAGACCTAACGCTAAATGCTAAGAAGATTCTTGTAGTTGATGGTGGGAAACTTCAAGTTGGTACTGCTTCAAAGCCATTTCAGCACAAGGCTAAGATAGTACTCCACGGTCACATACACGACAAACGTCTGCCCATATTTGGAACCAAGGTCTTGGCGGTGAGAGAGGGGACTTTGGACCTACACGGCAGAGTTGTGCCGATCACGTGGACACAATTAGCAAAGACTGCTGTACCAGGTATGTTAACAAATGTAATAAAACTATGACTAAAGAGGCACAGTTAAGGTATTTCCGGTGGAAACGAGCATGCCTTATTATAGTATCTGTCCATTAGCGTAGAAGTGCAGAAACATGCTGCAACCGTTGTTAGCCACCGTAGAAGTCATATATTATTTATTAGTCCCTGCTTGTTCAAGAGTTAGATAACGCTCTCCACTGGATAAATCTCTCTCCAGTGGATAGAGAACATCCGGACCAGACATATTTCTAAAATGCTCCTAAAGAAGATTTGCGAAGAAAACTGTGTAAAATGCAGCTGTTTCGGCTTTTCTGTCCTTACCAGTCTCTAATTCTTGTTAATATATCTGAACCATCGGCATCTTTTAGCATCAGCTTGTTTTTGAACTCCAGCTTCACTCATTTGTTGTGTGATTTCAAGCTTAATCTGATATCCTTTATTCTTAGGTGATACACTGCTCAGTCTAAAGCATTCCGTGACGTGGAACATTGGCGATCAAATGGTACTCGCGTCGACGAGCCGAAGTCCGGAAGAAAACGAGGAGTTAAGCATCACGAGCGTTTCCAATGATGGCCGAACCATTGGTATCACTCCACGTGTTAAATACAAGCATATTTCTCTTGCTCAAAATATCAGTGGAAGGCACATAGAAACACGAGCCGAGGTTGGACTGCTTACTCGGAATGTTGTCGTCGAAGGTTCGGAGAATGATGAATGGTCGGAAAAGATTCCGGAATGCCCTGACGATTTTGATCCGGGAATCTTTGCAGTTCAGACATGCTTCCAAGGTCGGTACGGTGAGGAAACGGCAAGTGAGCAGTTTGGGTCCCAGATCATGATCAACGCTAAAATGCAAAGCAAGGGACTCGTGACTGGCAGAATATCCTATGTTGAGGTCCGCAAAGCTGGCCAAGCATTTGGATTAGGTAAGACTGTAACTAAGGGCGCTTTCCAAAACTGGTCAGAACTGTCAGAACGCAGTCATTTTGACGATGAAATAGGCTTTTTCCAAGACCTTTTGCTGAACAACTATCTTCTTCGTGCAATCTATTTAGGATTTGACTGATCTGGCTGGATAAGTTTGGTTAAAAGTGAATTCTTATTACGACGAGAATGGTCTGGCCGGTAAGTTCTGACATGGAGAGCGCCCTTAAACGTAAAATCCATTGAGATAATCTAGTAGCACTCCGCAACAGTTATCAAATTTAATGTACTGTGTGCAGCGACAACAAGTTAAACAGAAAGCACTGCTTTCGAGTTTCGCGGATTTTCATAAAAAAAGTGTCAAACCTCTTCCAGGTTATCTCGTCAAAAGCTGTTTCTAATAAATGTCGTTTTTTAGGCCGCTACCCAGTCCATTTCCACTTGAGTGGCGACGTATCGGGCTCTTACGTCCGCGGTTGCGCGATTCATCACACCTTCAACCGTGCGGTGACAGTTCATGGCGTAACCGGATTAGTGGTAGAACACAACGTCGCCTATCACATCAAGGGTCACGCATACTTCATTGAGGATGGAATAGAGACTGGTAACACGATACAGTACAACTTGGGAGTCTTCGTGCAATCCTCCAGCACATTGCTGACAACTGATTCCACGCCTGCCACGTTTTGGGTGACAAATCCAAATAACACTAGTAAGTCAAGGGCGTTTTGCTGGTTGTTTCTTCCACTGACTTGCTCGGCTGTTTCTTGAAAATAATGCTAAGGACTCGTCGACGTTCACTCTAACTGCTTACGTTGAATAAGAGCGCCTAGTAACAAAAAATTAACAAAGTGGAAAACAAACGAAATGTATTCTTAGTAATGAATGATAAAAGAAACGTCACACTAAACAAGGGAAACTAGTAATAATCTACCGTGAGTCTTAACCGTTCTTTGGCCTTGAATAAATGATGGTGACAGGTTATTTGCTTCTGAGTTTTTTTGTCCCCTTCTTTTTTTGTTAACTTGTTTGCTCACATTTTCAGTCCGTCATAATGCCGCTGCTGGTGGCAGTCACCATGGATACTGGTACAACTTGCCTAACCATCCTGGGGGTCCTTCATTCACAACCTCCGTATGTCCTAAGAACGCACCTTTAGGAGAATTTCAGAACAATACAGCACATTCTTTTGGAAGGTAAGAAGAAATCATAATGTCATTTCCAGGCAGCAATGGATGATTAGCAGTTTACAAGACTGAGGGTCTGTATGGTTGTGCTCGATTCTCAGAGTCATTAGTTAGATTTTGAGCCATTTATCGGCTTTCCGGTGAAATTTTAGCTGTCAATTAAGTTTTTGGATCTCATAAGTCAGTTGTCTCAGTACTCTCTCTCAACTCTTAGCTGAGAGTGAAAATTTTGACTAGTTCTTTAGTATCAGTTAAACCACATTCACGATTATGTATTTGCGCTAGAGAAACAACTAGCTAATGATATTTACTTCACTGACCATATTAGGTATGGTGTTTGGATCTTCCAAGACTACTTTCCAATGAAAGGAGGTGCCTGTAACTCCAAAGTATCAGAACCCGCGAAATTCTACACCTTGCTGGCTTACAACAATCTGAAAGGCTTCGAGCTAACTAACGGTGGAGCTATTCAGACAATAAATTTCACTGTCATAGACAACAAAGAAGCTGGGATTGAGTTCACTCAAGTCAATGCTCCTTGGGGTGAAAACGGACCTTTAGTGAAAGACTCCCTTATCATGGGACATAGTGCTGTAAGTGGAAGTCCCTCTGCATGTACTCAAGGTGGACTTGTTGCACCACAGTCTTCGCGCCTTACGGTATCTGGAACTACTTTCGTAAACTTTGATGCGCCATCATGCGCCGCTCTTCGCGCATGCTCATTTTGTAAGCGGCTACAAGGGGGTTTCACCACAAGATTTGAGAAAACGAAGCTATTGAACTCACCAAATAAGGCAGCCTTCGAATGGGAGCACGAAGCTGTGTTCGAGGATCTGGATGGCACCTTGACGGGTAAGGGTACATGTGCTGAGCTCAGTGATAGCTATTTCGTTGCTTTATTTATTTACTTATATATATCTTTAAAAACAGACTAGCCGCTACAGGATTAAGCCAGTTATCGAGTAGCTCAGAGACTCCTCCTCTGCTGAGAAAAGTTTGACCATATCTTTACGCTGCTACTATTTTCTGTCAGTGGTGTTTTTTTTCTCTGGGGAATGAACGAGAAAAAATGGCCTTACGTCAACACTCAATGGGTTCAGTCTTTCGGCTTAGCAAAAAGCCCTCTAAAAGCCGAGCTAACCAGGCATCCGTTTAAAATTTTGAATTCGATCAGTTTTATGTGCTAGTCTTTCCTATATTACACATTTCTTTTCTCTACAAGCTGAATGAGGCAAAAACAATGAATAAATGAGGCAAAAACCAACAACTTACTGATTCAGCGACAACCACTTTTGTCCATAACCGCAGGTCTTCGTGGAGGAGGAAGCATTCTTCCATCAAACCCTAATCTTCCTTCAAAACATTGTTTCCAGTCCAAATCTGCTAGTGTGGGCAACGTTGTTGGTAGCGTGTGTAACTCGACCATGCGTTTCCGTCGGCTCGCTTGGAATGGAATCAGCCCCAAGTCTTTAGATTACCGCCGTGCTCTTCTTACCAATGAAGCTGGCACTAGCCGGATTCCCTGGGAATTTATGAGAGTGACTCACAATAGGGGCTGGATGGCAACGGTGATTTTGGGACAAAACTACAACTTCAGTTATGTCAACGCTCCTCAGCTCACCAATATATCTTACAGGTGCGTTTGCGTAGATGTATTAATGATCGTAAGATAAGGATAGAACGATTTTCGTTTAACTTTGAAATGATTACACCCGTACAAAACTAATATATAGATTTAGCCAGGGCTGAAAGTGATTTTCCGGTTAATAAATTTGTAACTTACCGTACATCAAGAGAGAATAATGGGACTTGTAGCCACTGCAAAGAAATCGATCTTGAGTTAAAGAGCTTGTTAGACCCGGTAATTATTGGGACTTTCAAGAAACGGCTCTCTGAGGGCAAAAAAGGGCAGTATTGTGATTAGTATCTGCAGTCTCAGAATAAAATTGGAGATTCCCTGCAAGACTGAGTTCATCATCTGTGTTTTTTCCGTCTTGCTTACAACCGAAGTGTGCGGTCAACTTAAATCGTGCGAATTATTGTCTTTAAAATTTTGAGATACACATGTTGTCTCCTTGTAAACAGTAGGGAGCTTAAGCAGCGACGTTTTTGAGCGACGCACGTCAACCGGAAGTGAGGTATTTTCCCTCTTAACATGCCTTGATGATATAAAATTTGTATTCCTTAGCTTCTTTACTGTTATAGAGGCGATTTGACTGAAAATTTGCGCGAAACCACCGTCAAAAAATGAAAAAAGGCCACTTCCGGTTGACGTGCGTCCCTCAAAAACGCTGTTGCTTAAGCTCCCTAGTGTACGTCAAACGGCAAACGCGAATTTATACCACGTGACCATGTTTCCCCTTTACTTGTCGTTTACTGTTCATTTTTTCTACTCATAAATTATAAGTTTCACGCAATCTTTTATCCATAAGAATTGTTTTGAGCTGTTTTATCTGCTCATTTCCTATTTTGAGAAATTCTCAACTTGAATCTGACGTTTGACATTTGCCGTATACGTGAAGCTTAATCTCTCTAGTGACGGTTTCATTGCATTTACGTTTTCAGCGCTGTATTCTACGAATTTGGAGACCAGGACTTTCTTTGGATAACACATCCTATGAAACAGACTCCAGATATGATTTCTACAACCGGCAAGTTTGTTAACATGACCAGCGGAATACCATTTGAAGGGAATGCGTCAAATGGTGATTGGTACTATAATAACGTAACCAAGCAATTGACATACATTGTATCAGGGAGGGGAGAGACGGGCCTTGTGAACAGACAGGTTAAGTTGAAAGTAAGTCTAGTATGTTTTTTGCCTTTTTCGAGTTGCATTGGCTGGCTTATACTACCTTGATTACAACGTGTACTAGTTTAGGATTTCCGTTCGCCTAACGAGTATTCTTGCAGCAAAAATGCAAAAATGTTTTTGCTGTAGTACATACAGTGAAACCTCGTTTTAAGGAACCTCTATGTAACGAAGTCCTCGGTATAACGAACGATTTTCTTTACCCCAGTAATGGTGAAATATATGAAAAAGAACCTCGATATATCGAAACTTCCTTAGAGGGAAGACATTTTGCCAGTCCCTTGGCCCTTCGTGATGTCGAGGTTCCACTGTGTTTGTAATCCTTTTCATGGACAAGATTGCTGTGGACATTGTTTTCTTCTGGTTGGCAACCTCCTTACTACGACGGTTTTTTGTAGGTGGAACGCTGCTATTTTAAGGACTGTATCAAACCTATTCCACCCCCACCCCCTGAGAAACGCCCATTAGAGTACCTGCGATGGTCAGTGGAAGAGGATTGGTATTGGGCAGATCCCGGATATGGTGGACACAACAAACAACTCCCGAAAGACGGAGATGACGTCATCATTAAACAGAGTAAGCAATAAGCCATTTTTGGGTCAACACCAAGCCTCTGTTTTAAAGCGAGGCTAAGTGCGAAGCCATTGATAGGAAAATGATTTTTATTCTCATTCAAATAAATATCATTTTCACAAGAACGTTTTAGCACTCGGCCTCGTTTTGAAAGTGAGAATTTTCGGATTTCGGAAATGGCCTATTAAAGGCATTGTAATCTTGGCAAACTGGATTTGGTTGATTAAATGACTGATTGATTAATTGATTCATCGATCCATTTCCCCACCTTGCCTTTCTTCTTGCTTCCTTGACTGACAAAATTGATTGACGTATTCTTTCGTTGATATTTTAGACTTGTGGATGGTGGCAGATACTGAACTTCCCTCAATGAGAAAGCTCTTTATATATGGCACACTGGAATTAGAACCCCACATGGACTTTGTCCTCAATGCCACGTACATCGTGGTTGGTAACGGAGGCAACTTAATCATTGGCTGGGAAGACACACCAATGAAAAGCAGTGTATTAATCAGCTTGAACGGAAATCACGATACCCCGGACATTCCTATCCAAGATGGTCCAAACGTCGGTTCTAAAGCTCTGGGTCAGTAATAAAAGTGTATGAAGGATATGGTGTATTTAACACAGTGTCCAACCCAATTCTCAGTTTGTCTACATAAAACGGATTGCCTCGCTGCTAATTTATCAATGTCAACGTATCCATGCGATGTGATTAGTTGCACTACTTCATGCGCTAAGCTTTTTATGGCCGCATGTCCCCGTTCAGGGAAGGCTTAGTCAATATGCCGTATTTTTATATAGCTGGAAGTGTTTTTCCAAACAGCGCGCGCTCTCATTGGTTACTTCGAGGTCACATGGCATCTAACAATGAAACTGTTTCCCGCCAAAATTTCTGAGCGGGCATCATTACAAAATATATGACGTCAGAGGGTCATAGTGCACTGTTGTCCTCTGCTTTGCCTCAGGAACATCGAGATTCTCGGGAGACAAAAATTAACTGTTGCCCTCGGGACCATATTTAGTGTTCTAAGCGAGTCCGTAACTGAGAACGAAGATCTTTAACTTCCACAGGAGACCCAATACCACCACAAAACAAACTTGGCCCGGCTGTTGCTGCAGCCCCTTTAGCGTTCGAAAAATGCTTTTGGTGATGAATTTCGAGGGCATTTGGTGCCTCGGTATGATGTAGGCACTAAAGTGTTTATTGAAGTGCGTTTTTTTTTCTTTACTGTAAGTTTGTTAGTATACAACAGTCTCAGATGTTTATTGGCCTGCTGCTTTCTTACCCCTTTCACTCTCAGAAGAAAGCAAAGGAAAAAGTAGACAAAGGATGAAATTTCGTTTGATAAAATGTTCAGAAAAAGGAAGTACTGTGTGATAGTACTGCCAAAGAGGTTCTATTTGATTGGTCACACCACAGTATTTCGTCCACAGACTCAGTAGGTAGAACCACCTCACCAGACTCCATTACTCACTATGGGAATCAAAGGTTTAAGGAAAAAAGTCCTTTTGATGGTGCAGGATTAAATAATTCATTTTACTTCACTCACACACTATAGTTTTATCGTCTAAGTAAACTGCATATCTAAAGTTTGATTGCATTATTATCAAACGCAGCGTTTAAACTTACCCTCATTCTCAACTTATCTATTGTCTCAACCAGCCGTTTTTGGCAACATGGAGATTCACGGTCTTAACAGGTCGGTGTACTGGAGCCGATTGAGCAAAACCGCTCACTCCGGAAGTGACGTCATTCATCTGGAAGAGATTGTGGACTGGAAGCGCGGTGACGAAATTGTCATTGCGCCAACTTCCTTTGAGCCTTACCACACTGAAATCCTTAAAATAGGTAAGGTTGAAAAATTTTTTGTGGTTGTTGTCTTTTTTCGTTTTACGGTCATGATTTCAATATTAGGGAACTTAAGCAGCAGCATTTTTGAGCGACGGACGTCAACCAGAAGTGGACTTGTTGCATCATTGGGGAGTGGTTTGCATGGTTGAGACTCTCGGGTAAATCGCCTTTATAAGAGAAAAGGAACTCAGCAATACAAATTTGTTAGCCTCAAGGCCTTACTTCCGGCTGACGTGCGTCGCTCCAAAACTCCTTTGTCTAAGCTCCCTATTGTCTTATGTCCATCTCGAACCTCGAGCCACCAATGAATTAGGTACATTACGTTTAGCAGTTTGCGACGTTGAAATCTTTAAACATAGGTGAGGTTAAATTGCTCATTGCCCCCTTTTTACGCTCATGGTTTGGGAAAGCATCTTTTGCCCGTTTCAAACACCGTGTGACACTCAGGTGACAAACCTAACTGTATAATTAAGTAGGACAGAAGTAATTTGGTTCAGCCATTTTCGTTCGGTATTTGCGGCGCAAGAGGCATTATTCGACACTGCAGAAGCAGAGGATTAATAAGGTAAGCTAATCGTCCGCCGAGCCTAATGCACCGAGTGTACAACCTAGTTTGATTTAGACTCTCCTTATAATTACAAGGGACATATGTCTGGTTGTCTGTTCAGTGTGGTCCGTGCAGTATTGTCTGGTCCGGTGTATGTGACCGGATTGAATCAATTGTCGCTCTAAGATGAACCTAAAAGTTCATGTTAAGCAAGGTGGAGCTCTTGAGTGATGCGGCGTCTGAACCGTGCCTGACAGATTTTATCAGGACCTTATTATTGGTGTGTTGAGTAGTCAACTTGACTTTCCCCATCACTGAAAAAAAAAATTGAATCTCTGCTTTTTCACCCGTCTGATTCAGTAAATGTTGAACTCGATGGAAAGACTCTTCGGCTCAATCAAACTCTGAAGCACAGACACTTGGCCGATTCATACACCACAGGAGACTGGAACTACACATTAGCTGCCGAAGTTGGTCTGCTGACCAGAAATATCGTGATAGAGGGCGCAGATGATACTACACAAGCTCTAGATAAGCAGTCATTCGGCTGCCGGGTGCTGTTTGGCTCGTTTGAAGGCAGCATTGCTTTAAGTCGTCGAATTCGCGTGGAGAATGTAGAGTTTCGTCATTGTGGACAGGAAGGATGGTCTGATCCACATGATCCTAGGTGAGAATCGAATTAGGTGGGGGAGGGGGGAGGAGAAAACGGAAAGTACTGTTTTAAAAAAAAGGAACGTTTCAATAGCCAAAACGACTCAAAACCGCTCATTAGCTACTCTGTTATATATATTGGAGACAGATTTGACAGGAAAGCGGTTTAATTTAATTTGCATATTTTCTAAAATAAACTTAAAAAAATTAGTAAATTTCTTTTCCCTTTCATTGGCTAAGAAAGAATCAAAGTAATTTTAACGTTTTTTAAAATTTTAAGTGACGTATGTCTTTGAACTAATTTCAGATAAAGTTACCTTTTGCGATTGTTGTTGTTGATTTTGCTGAAAGAATACATCAACGGGGTCTAAAATCATGTCTTTTAAATCTTGCTACAGATATTCTTTAGCTGTACTGGATGCTGGCAGTCTAAAGACTTCTTATATTCGAGGCAATTCTTTCCGTGATGGATTTAACACCGCCATTGGGGTGTTTGGAACAGATGATTTAACTATCCTTGATAACGTCATTCACCACACAGTAGGCTCGGCTGTGATAGTCTGGGGAAGAAACAATAAAGTCTTGCATAATTTAGCTGTCTTGAGCGTTTCTCCAGGTATTGAATCTTTGATATTAATTAAGATGTACTTTTTCTTTAATAATTCATGAAGAAAGCAAATCACTACCCTTATGGTTGTTGAGATAGTGGATCATGATTTCCATAAAATTTGCAGACTTTAAGCTTTGACTTCCTTTAAGATCTTAGGTATCTCCTCGGCTGTTACAAAAACTAAGTAACACCCGCATCTGCTCGCCTCTAACTTTGACGGTACAAAGCGTGTTCAGGTGATTGGGAGTTGATCATGGAATGGCCCTTATGCGTGATTACGTCAGACGAAAAAACTTCACCACCAAACTTCGCTTTAGCCTGCGAAAGCATCCGTTTCCCCTCGCTCTTCGCCGCTGGTGACGTTCACATTTGTACGTTTGGTGGGTGGGTAGGTATTCTTTTCCACTCCGCTGCCTTGTTAATTCCTTTACAGTCTCAAAACGAGGCTTGATGGTAAAATTTGCTCGCCTGACGTAAACTTGCATAAGGGCCATAATACATAATTCATAATCCCATAATACACCTTGTTTGTCCTAAACAATTTTGCGTAAGTACAGAAGAATCCCGATAACTGGAACTGGGATCTCTCGAATTGTTTTTCGTTCCCCTTCAGAATTCGAGTTATCGGGGTACTACTGTATTGTCTTCAGTTTCTCTTAAGACAAAACAGAGAAAAAAATGTGCAAATGGCCACTATGTCTATAGCTTTCATTGCATTAAAAAAAACTTTGTTAAGTACCTAATAAAACAAGCCTACAAAACAAAACGTAAACAAACCTATTAACAATTCTGACGTAATATAAAATTGATTTTTAATAGCTACCTTCAAGGGGAGACACGAAGATGAAAACCAGCTTTGGCACGCTTCCTTTGACATCAGCAAGACTTCTGAAGTTACTTTAAGGCATAACGCGGCAGCTGGGAGCGAGAGAGTTGGGTTCGACATCCGAGGAGAAAACTGCTACCAAGAGAACCCCGAAGGACGCTGGAGTGCAAATACCGCACACACCACCCTACACGGGGTACATATTGGCTATCACGACGGGCTTCCAGGCTGTCTAAAGATTGCAAATTTTGTGGTTTGGAAGAACTGGGACTATGGTGTATTTGGCTTCCCTAAGTCTAGAGTGATTGTTCAAGATACAGTTGTAGCTGATAGTTATATAGGTAACGAGATTCATACTTTTCGTGATAATTATGCTTTGTCACGCATCAATACTATTCCTATCCTCAGTTTCCGCTGAAAATAAAGGCAAAACTAAAATATTTATTTGCCTTTATAAAGAATTGATTACTGTTATAAAAACGCAATGACTGAGTGAGCGATCAACAGTGGTTACAGTGCGCTCTCACCCTCTGATGTCTGCCCTTTCAGAAACGTTTAGAAGGCAAGAGTTTATCGGTCTTCAAGATTTTCTTAACTTCACAGCTCAACGCATTCCAGTTGTACCAGCTGTTTTGTCGGCAAACTACAAATGATGAATTGTTGGCATCGCCCTTTGCCATGTGTTTTAGATGTTTCAGAGAAAACAAATAAGCAAGAGAGGATAAAGGGGCTAAGTTAATTCGAATTACCGTAAATCCTCTATTAAGCCCCCCGAGGGCCTTATTTATTTCATGCAAGCCCATTTGAGGCGGGGGGCGGGGAGGGGGCTTATTTAATTTAGCGGAGACGATCGTATCAGTTCAAGAATACAAAGTGGAAAAGCTCAAGTACAAGAAGGTTCGAGATCATGCAGCCGAGGATCAGAATCAAATCCGAACTTCCAGTTGGTAAATAAACCATCTCGAATCAGTCCACACAAAGTTTTACAGTCATGATTGATTTAGTTTATCCTTTAATAGTGAAGAATAATTAGGGAAAGGGGGGGGGGGCTTATTTGAGATGGGGGGCCTTAAAGGAGGATTTACGGTAAGACAAAATTTTATTTCATGTGCCCTCGCTGATCATGTTAAAAGTATTATGCCTCAGTTTTTTCCTTTTAAATTCTCAGGTATTCTTATAAACATCTGGAACCCACCTGCCCTTTCTCACCATACCGCTGACAAATTTGTTCGTCTTGACCGAGTGTTAATAGTTGGCACTAGCCCCAGTGTGGATTGCCGCAGTTTTAGGATTGAGCCGCGTAATTCAGGTATCACAAAAAAAGTGCGTCCACCCCGTTACAAAGGAGGTGGCAATATAGGTTTTATGCTTTCATCGTTCGCCTCCACGCCCGGTTTGGCACCTGAGAAACCCTGGCATTTACTCACCTCTGCCCCCGCGATACGAGGGGTTGTAAGACTGAGCAATGTTGGATTCGCTCATTTTGGAACAAGGTGCGGTGAGGAGAGTGTTGTTTTCAGCACTAATCCAGGCTCCCCTGATGCGTTTCATCCAGTATTGGCGCAGGGCATTTCTATGTACAATGTTGACAGTGATAAGCTTTTTCACATACCGCCATCAAATATTGGGTGGATAAACCCCTCAGATTGCGTTGATATGGACTGTGATGGAGCTAAGCATGTTCTAATCAAGGATCTAGACGGAAGTCTAACTGGCGTCGCAGGCGGAAGTGTGATTCCCAGGGCTGAGTATGAGTGGAATGGAGACCGCCGTAGGGGATTAGGTAGGAAAATTTGATTGTAAGTACGAAAACCCTACACGTGTATCAGTGCCTAGTTTGAGAGATGTTCTATGCCATTTATCTTATGCACCTCAAGGGCATATCGTACGCAGTAATCAATATCTTTTATTACGCTCTCTAAATGGTATTGTCATCGTTTTTTAACAGAATACAGAAAGATTAAAAAAGTATTACCTGTTAGTATATAATGTGCTAATGGGACGTTTTAAAGAAGGCATGGCCGCCCCCAAATTAGCACCGCACCGACAAGGCGCTAGGCAAATTTGATACACAATCTAGAGCTCTTTCGTGTAAATATGGTACGGACTTGTACAAGTATATAAGTAAAGCTGTCAAACACTAAAAAGGTACACTGGCTTGACTTATTATCGTGATTCTGAGATGGTACGCTTGAGTTTGTTGGCCAGAGATTGAGCAATTGTCTCTTTTTTTTGTCCTGTAGGAGATTACCGCATACCACGACCGCTACTGACGGCATCAGACGGCTCACGTCTCAATGCCTCTGTTGTTGCGCCACATCATGGTATAGTTCGAGGCACGCGTTCGCAGAGCTTTTGCTCCTGGATTATTGACTGGAATGCATACAAATGCTCCACCCTAGGTAAGAATTTAAAATTACTGGAAGCAGGGAATTCGAATATGCTCAAATTGACACATGTATGTCTTCGAAAGAGGACCACCATGTTCCTCTGTTTTCATCATTGAAAAAGTAGCAAAACACATACACTAAACGTTATTCTCATGAAATCTGTACAAGAATAACCCACGATTTTTTTCTTCTTAGACTACCAGATGCTTGTTATAGAGAGTTTAGACGCTGATACAGAACTTCGCAGGCTCTCTCCAGTGGCCCTTTCAGCCAATGGCTACACAGATCTGCTTAACGGTCCCATGGATCATGGATGTTGCTTCGGTTATTCTTGCATGGAAAGATTATCGACATTCTACTCAATAGTGGCAGCACAAAATAATTACACCCTTTATTTTACAGGTAAGCAAATAATTAGTGCTCTTGCACTTGTTAGCGATCTGAATCAAATTCAACTGGTTCAACTGTGACCCCTTCCGATTCTCAAATGGAGTTCTTGTTTGCGCTAGCAGGTTGCCCTAGAGTTCAGTAGTTCAGCAGGGACCAGTTACTCCTTTGTTTACAGTGGAATCTCATTAACTTGCGATGGAATATATTAACGTTTTTAAAACCATTAATTGCAACCCGTTTTACTCTCTTTAAGTTCGCCCATCCTTGCGTTGTCTTCGTTTGTTTTGGCTACGTTATATATATATCTTGTTTTGATGTTTTAAACAGTTATCTTTATGTTTTCATTCAATTTGGTGGCAGTTACCGTTTTCTGAATTTTGACAACGCAGCTCCTTAAAACTTTTCATTGTTGTTGTTTTTCTAGGCACCAATCCACAGAATCTTCGCCTGACCTTACTTAACGCAAACAAAACTCAAGCTGTTCGTGTGGCCATCTGGTACTCCACACCCCGGCGCTTAGACGTGTATCGCGCAGGCGTGTACATGTATCCAACTAACGCAAAGCTCGACGCACAAAACTTTAGCTACAAAAAGAAGGATCCCAGTCTCCCTGATGACCAGTTTGAGCCGTCGCTCAGAAGCATCAGCGGAGCTAACTATTATGAGCGCGAAAGTCAGCTGCTCTACGTTGTAGTTAAAGGAAATATCGCAGTGGACATAAGGACAGCTCCTGTTATACAAGTCAAAATAGGTGAGAGGGGAGCTCGAGTGTACAGTCAAACCCGGTTAATACGGATACCCTGGGGGCCATAGAAAGTGTCCGTATTAACGGGGTGTTCGTATTAAGCGAGTGATGTTATTAAAGTAAAACAACGCCTTTTATTAGAACATAATTCTAAGGAAATAAAAATAGGACATTACCATTGTCAAATTAAACATCTCTAACGTTAACGAAGCCGTAATTCCGCGGACTAAATACAGGACACACTAAAAAGTCGCTCATCTCAGCATAGCTCGTTTGATGCCAAAAGTAGTCCTAAAATTGACGTCTACAATTCGTCTGATCCGGTGTACTGTAGCGCTAGAAACCACAACATGCTGTCAACTGAAAGATTTTTATGCCCCCTCCTTGCTTGCCAATGAAGATTTGTACTGAACAATGTGCATTGCTAGGGGTGAGCTCAGTTTGCTGGGACAACTAAACGGACACCATTATTTGCCGTAATTTGGCCACCTCGTTAAGTGGCCGTTTATTGATAATACCAAATCAGATTAAACAAAAACCGGAAATGAAAACCTTATCCCAGCGACGGTGAGGACAAACACGCCAAGGCCCTGATCGACCTGTGTCACAACTACGTCATTACAATCCAATATTTTGTGGATTACAATCCGCTCATTATTAAACCAATTATTTGTGAGTTGCATGTACATGTTATATTACTAGCCAATAATTTGTGGATTGCTGTCGCCTCATATTCAAACCAGTTATGTGTGTTTAACAACTGTTTCATGACAATCCAATTATTTGTTGATTACCTTATACCTATTTCTATCTGACTGTGCGGCTGGACAAAAGAGGACAAAGCACACTTATTGTCTAATTGATGCTTTTTCTTTCTTCATCGCTGCTGTTTTAACTGAAATTTTCTGTTATTTATTTTCTAGGCAGCAAACCTGTACATTTCAACGACTTCTTTGAAAAAAATTTAATCGAAAATCTTGCCTCGCTTCTTGGCATTGACGAGTCTCTCATCAGGGTAGTAGAGATTGTGAATGCTTTGGGAGATTCACGAAGGAGGCGAAGAGATTCTGACGATGAAACGATGACTGTAACGCTAGAAATCGGTGATCCACCGCAAAAGAAAATTCCTTTTAAACCAGAGGAAACGTATGTTCCTGGAAACTCAAGGTGATCTTTGGTCTTTCGTCAATTCAACTGTCAACGTTTGAATTTCCTATTGCGTCTTACATTTGGTACTTTAATAAATAGTTTGTTTTGTTGTTGTTGTTTTGTGCTTGTAAAAATAGGAACACAACTTTACATATTAAATGTACTGTGAAATCTAGAGAAAGCCATAATGCATCCCTCTCCGAATTTCTAAGTTTGCAGTGTTCATTTGATGACCTGACGATCACTTTCATTTGTCACTTGTGTAGTTATACCACGGCTACTCCAGTTACCATGCCAACCACAACACCACCAACACCGGCCCCAATGGATCAGTATATCGCTCTCCAGTCCTTGGCGTCCAAGACTGTGGCAGCAGCACAGACAGGTCGCATGGCATCCTTAGTTAATCTTGATATCTTATCCGTTGAAGTGACAGATCCCGAACCCCCGCGGGAACTCCCGAAGGGATGGAAACGAGCTATCCCCGCGGATGGTAATTATTCTGTTTAAACCATCTTCCCCGTAGAACTGTTAGAATTCTGAGAAACCTTGTCGAAAAACAGGTGGCAGGAAATAAAATTTTGCTTCCACTGATGGCACTTTACTGACCTTTTGCTCTTTTCGCGAACTATAGTAAGTGACTCTTCGATATACCGACCTAAAGCGTCGATGCTTTGCCTTGCTTTCTAAATCTACGTCCTTTTTTTCGCGTAAACTGAATAGCCATGCCAGTAGCATTGAAGGAGTGCTTGAACTGTTAATTGTGGTTGGTGTCTATTTCAGCGGGCCCAAAGAATGGTACTTGGCGGTTTGATCAAGTAGAGTCGATGAAAGAAGGCAACAAGTCCAGTCCAGTTCATGATTACCTCATTCCAGTCAGACTCGTTGTGTTGCAGCAGCCTTTTGGCGCCAACGAAACAGTTCCTTTCCTTGTGCAACCCAAGCTGAGGATGGTAGATGAACTCAACCGTACGGTCAGCTTGCTGGGGCATGGCCAGCAAGGACAATGGTACGTATTTCTAGACAATACTAACAATCATCATCATCATCATCATCAACAGTACCGCCACCACCACCACCATCATCACCATCACCATCACCATCATCATCATCATATCATCATCACCAACAACAACAACACCAACAACACTGACACCAATTACCAACACCACCACCACCATCATCACCATCAGCATCACCACCATCATCACCACCACCATCATCACCATCACCATCATCACCATCACCATCACCACCATCATCACCATCACCATCACCACCATCATCACCATCACCGTCACCACCATTATCACCATCATCATCGTCGCCATCATCATCATCATCACGACCACCACCACCAACAACAACAACAACAACACCGGCAACACCACCAACAACACCAACACCAATTACCATCACCATCACCACCATCATCACCATCATCATCACCACCATCATTACCATCATCATCGTCGCTGTCATCATCATCATCATCTTCATCTTCAGAGAGCCTCATTCGCAAATAGAAATGGTGCTATTCATTTTGATGTTTTGTAAGAGTAGTCTGATGGAGTTAAACCAAAATCTCAGTCAAAGGGGACACCGTTGTTTCTAACTTAGACATTCTCAATTTGCTCCATGCAAAAGAATAATTATTTAAAAAATACTTCTCTATGGCGGATGGAAGCTAGTCTCCAATTCCTTTTTTTCTTTCTTTTTTGATTCATGTAGTCTTTTTTTCTCCTAATTTGTTCGTCATTGTAAATGTTTATTTATGCAACAAAAACCAACTGTTGAATGCCTTTAAGCCCTGTGTGTGCGTACTACGCTGGGATAACCTTTTTCCCTTAAGTGGTCCGCTTGCTTCGGTTACCTATTTTAGGCACGTAATGTTACCATAGAAACCTATCCTTCACATTTCACTCGATTCATGTACCTGAATATCGCTTAATATAAGACTAGAAGCGTCACATTTTAACTGGAAATAACTTTGAAATGGAAAACTCATTTAAAGCAGAGCCATCAACGATCTTTTTTTATTTTGTTAGGCATGTAACGGCGTCTATCATGAATGGCACAGGAGACCCAGAGGCCCTGTTAGGTGGAAATACTACAGTACCTTTTATTGATGGCTGGGCAAACTTCACAAATCTCAACATCAGCCATAATGATACAGATTATGTGCTAGAATACAAGGTGACCTTCCCTGTGGAGGCAAACTTCACTACCCATTCAGAATCGTTTGAAGTCAAGGAGCGGATTTTGTATTTCACACTGGTCAGTTATCCTCAGGACGCCAACGAAACCGTTCCCTTTGGTCAGCAGCCTTTAGTTGAAGTCCGTGATGCTGCTAATGGAGAATTGGTGACGAATACTGGCTGGAAAGGACGTAAATGGATTTGCAAAGCGTCTTTAAGGGATCAACAAAGTCTTAAAGGTCAGCTAAATAAAACAAGAATTTTTTAGCCCATTGCACGTAACCTAGAAAAGTGGGAAACAGTGAATTTTTTGCAAGTTTATTTGACACACTTCTTGTCGTCTTTACAAAGTCTATTTATAGCATAGGACCTGTTATGCGCAGCCGAAGATAGTAGTTATCCTGTGCAATGGTAAAACAAGGGCGGGTTTTTTTAAAACTGTTTTTCTTTATAGTACCCCTACGTAATGGCAAAAGACTTGGAAAGCTTTTTGATTCGGTTTCTTTGGAGTTAGACATAAATCGTTATTTTTCCTTTGGCAGGCAATCTCAGTGGGGCAGCTTCTGTCGAGTTTTCGGCTGGTGTTGCATCTTTCACCGATCTCTCCATTAATCATGAAGGGAAAAGCTACGTACTGGACCTCGAGGCGTTCACTGTTCCTTCCTCTCGTTACCAGTTCTCTACTAGCACTGAACCATTTGATGTAAAAGAGAGGTTCCTGGAACTAGTTATTTCGCAGCAGCCGGGTAAGGATGAAACAACTGTAATTTTTTCCAATCATTCGATACCTTACATGGTGGCTGATAGGTAATTTGACGCATGTTGAGGCAAAGGAAGAGACATTATATGACTTGAAACAACATTTGAATTTGCAAAGCCAGTAGCTTAAACAAGGCTGATGTTTCCACTCGTTGTAAATTGTAGCTTTATTATAATTCTATAATTTTCTTCTCTATAGCGGTCAAGAGAATAAGATATATTTTATACCCGCGAGTTATATTTTAGTGATGTTATGGCGACTAAAGACCACCGAGTGTTTGCATATTCTGTGCCTTTTAGGAGCACGTTTGCATTACGGTTTTGAATGTTTGAATAAAATTCAACAGCCCGTCTTAGACAACAACGTCTATCCCTTATTGATAGACACTTGAATTCCCTGTTGTATGAATGGAATCAAACATAAGACGTTCTTCTCAAATTATTCATATAATTGTGACCTTCCACGTGATTATAGAATTAAACGCTTACTGTTTAATCATAACTTCATTGCTCCTTTAAATCAACTTGGTGTCAGAAATCGTGAGAAGCTGTTCTTCTAGACTCCCATTTCTTTCGCCCACGCTATTTGCTAATTCATTTTATATTCTATCCAATAAGGTGATTGTAATGACACAGTTTCTTGTGGCTTCCAACCTATACTTGAGATCCGTGATACTGCTACAAATACTCTGGTTGGTAATCTGGGATGGCGCGGACGAACTTGGAAGATACAGGCTACCATGGAACAGGGAGTTGGGAACGAGGTGATTATCGGCTTAACTCATTTCCAGATCCCTCGCTCAGGACGTGCGGTGTTTTCAAACATCAGCTTTTATGACGTGGCCTCTGCTTATAAAATGAAGTTTGAAGTTACGGTCACTCCTCACTCCCAGATCTACTCAGGAATGGTTGCGATCTCAAACACATTCGATGTAAACCCTCGCCAGTTTTACCTGGATGTCGCTACCCAAGTTTCCAATGCGAATCAATCAGTAATATTTGGAACACAACCCGTGGTGGAAGTTCGCGATCTGGGAACTGGAAAGCGTGCCACACCCTTGAAAACCCCTTGGTGGATTGCAGTATCGCTTTTTTCTAATCCCAAGTCAGGGAAGGCATTCTTAAATGGAACATTCAATGTTTCAGTCGTCAAGGAACAAGCTGTTTTTACCGATCTTCTCGTAACGTTGTATGGACAAGGCTATGTGCTGAAGTTTGAATCAAGCTACGGCCTCAGTGTCTTCTCAGATCCTTTTGAGGTAAGAAAGTGCGTTTCTTACATGAACCGCTGTAAGCGCTTTGGATGTTTCTTTCCTTCCAATTCGCTAGTTTTGAGAGAAATGAAATACAAAGCCGGAAAGAACTACCGCGTTGGTAGGCGGGTAGGGGCGTTGTCAGCCCATAGACCAGTAGGCCCAGGCCTACAAATTTTTGGTTTGATCACTCTAGACTTGTAATAAATTGTGCCTTGTAGGGTTGAGCTAAAAAGATTATAAGTGTTGGTGAGGTTAGTGCTTACTAGTCATGCGTGTAATCAGCAGAATTATAAACAATAATTTTTCAGGATATGTGGAAAAGTAAGTCAGCCAGGCCTGCAACAAGTCGAAAAGCTGGCTACGCCCTTGGAGGGAAAGTGTTTAATTGAATTCTTTTTGGCAATATGGTAGCATTTCTGAGAACAATGTCTATAACTAAAAGTTATAGTTGTTTATAATAATTCCTGTTTCTCTATTATAGCCTGACAATGCAACTACAATGGTTCCCCTTGTTAATTATCATCAATAAGATAAAATTATTTTCACTAATCAGTTATTATTTTGGTTTGTTTTCCGTTTGCTTGTTAAGTGGTTGTGTGATAACTATGTAAGTCAAGTAAACTTATGCTGATTTCAACCCTCCAAAACATTTCTCCGCTTCTTTAGGTTCACTACGTCAACGATTATTCCCCAGTCTTTGTTAACTCGAGCGGCAATTACACCGTCAACATTTCCGAGGCAGTATCGATTGGTTCCTTCGTAATCAATATCCATGCGACAGACAGCGATAAGGGGAGCCAGGGAGATGTTTACTATGCTCTTATTGGAGGAAATACTGGAAACAGTTTTAATTTGAATCGGACTTCAGGCGCCATGACCACTGCAAAGAAACTCGACCGGGAAACAACTGCATCTTACCGTTTGGTTGTAAAAGCCTTTGATGGCGCTGTCCAGGAGAAAATTCGTTTCACTCTGGGGCACGTTCTGGTGAAAATTGAAGACATAAACGACAACACACCACAGTTTACTAAAGAGGAATTTACATCAAGTGTGAATGAAACCGCTGACCTTGATGACGTCGTTCTGCGTGTGTGGGCGCTGGACCGTGATGCAGGAATGAACTCCGAATTAAGGTTTTCTATCACATCCGGGAACACTGATGGGTATTTTGATATAATACCTAATACAGGTGACATAGTTGTGAAGAAATCCCTTGACTTGGAAGGACAATCTCCACCGTCGCTTAGCTACAGTCTTGGTAAACTTTTATTATCCTTTTTATTACTGCAGGCGACAAGAGGAGCCCGCAATCCTAATCTCTAGGTTGTTATTACGCATGCGTCGCATGTATGTAGCCAGCATTCGTTTGAATTTCCACTAAGAATGATGTGTGAAATGCACAGAGCGCACTTTGATCACGCGCGTTTGGACCTTCTGTCACTCGTTATCTGATCACTCATGTTTTGACCATCTGACACGTGAAACTTACGCAAAGCAGAGCGCTGGAGCAAAAGCGTTTTGACCTTCGATCGTTGTCGCCCGCACTCCTTAACCTTTGGTTATTTCTAGTTATAATTATTATTTGCTGTTTTATCAATTCTTTTGCTGAATATTGTTGCTACCGGTAATCAAAAAGCACAACATGATCGTGCAGGTGACTTTCACATTATTTGAGTAGCCCAATTTATTTATCCACTTGACATCCTTGTCCAATTTAAAGTAGTTTTACTTTGGTTGTTTTAAGCTAGCTTAGTAACCCTCCTAAATTTCTTTCACGAACCTAGACACCTTATACAACCTGGCAGACAAATCAAAGAAACGTTCTGTGAATCGCTTTGTCTATTTAACCTGGAAAAATAATGCCTCGTGCTGGTTTTAATTTTGCACTGCTTTTCATTGTTGACGCAAAATTTAAAAATCTAGCTTCACTTGCGCAACTGGCCAAATTTCTTTATTATTTCTTTTGTTTGTTATTTTTTTCAGTTTTTAACCGTATTTTCTTGTTAATTCTTTCGTAATGTACTGTCTTTCAGGTGTTCACGTGACTGATATGGGTGTACCTCCCCTGAGTAACTCAACAACTGTTACAGTGAATATCTCGCCAGTCAACGAGTTTTCACCAGAGTTTACTCACAGTTCGTTTTCCGAAATGAATGTGAAGGAAAATCAAGCCACTGGAAACGGTTTAGTTTTGTTTAACGTGAATGCTACGGATAAAGATTTTGGACGACAAGGTGAAATCCCTATAACAAGATGAAAACATTTTAGCAGTAAGAAAATGTAATAAGACAGAGAGTAATAGCTATGATACACTTTACTGCATAAACCAAAAGGCTTGCTTTCCTAAAAATTCCCCTAACTTACTTGTTTGTCAGTCCACAAGAGGCTTCCAAAGGCAGAAAGGTGCTACTCTCCAATCCATAAGAAAGAAAAGAAAAGTTAGCACGCTTATTTTTATTGAAGGTGGTTAAGCCCTCTACCGATCGTCGGAAGTAAGAAAAAATTTAAAATGTAAAACTTTTCAGATTTTAGAACCTGTTTCCGCCCCTGCGACATTCTCATTAAACACGTAGTAGAATGTCGATGGCTATGACGTTTTCCCGCCAAAATGATGCTAGTTCACGCGCACGCATTACTTTATACTATTTGTCCTCGCAGTGATCCTCGTGATAGAATTTAAAGGTCATTTTCTAGTCTTAACTCTAGAGATCACAGGTATTAAGTTTTAGAGAGCTGGGAAAAAAGGTAGACTGACGCTTATTAAAGGGGATACAACTTTATCACTGATTGGTACATTTCATTACACCGCTGGAAAGTAACCCAGTTTTTTTACTTGTTCACTCTACAGGATTGGTTCACTATTACATTTTCTCTGGTAATGATGACAGGAAATTCCAAATAAATAATAATACTGGCCTTGTTAAGCTTATGTCACCTCTGGACTATGAGACTGCACCCAACTATACACTGATCATCCGGGCTTCCGATTCTGGCGAGCATGCGCGGTATGCTGAGTTCACCCTGTTCGTGAAGGTTGTTGACGTCAACGATAACTCTCCTCAATTTGAGAAGATAATGACTACTGTTGATGTAGCCGAAACACTCTCCATCGGTGAGGAATTATAAATGAAGATTTATAAGACATCAGTTTTAAAACTAAAACGCAAGTTTGATGCAACCGAGGGTTTGAAAGTCACTTCAGCGGAGCAAATATTTGAGGAAATAGCAAATTTTGGAGCCGAAAACCGTGATATACAACGTGAAACATATTGATCAAGTCTACTTTCATTTCGGCTTTTGCAATCAACAACGCTAGCATTTATGACTTCTATTTTATCAAAGTATTTTGTTTCCAAGTAGCGTTAAGTTTGGCTGTTGTTTTATCCCTTCATCCGACAGTTTATATTATGTGTAAGGTCTACGAAGCCTCGCTTATATGCAACTTGTTTTTTTTGTGTGTGTTCATTTTTTTTCTTATCAGTTAACACAAACACTTTTAGTCGAAAAGCATGTAACTGATTTCGTATTTACTCTGTTTGAACAAATGTAATAAAAGGACGGCATGAAGATTATGAATAAGACATTATCTCTCAATGATTCAGTACCTTATGCTGGTACAATGAACCCGTAGATGAATGGCCCTTACTTTTTTTTCTAAACACCTCTCTTACGCAGGTCAAGTTGCTGTAACAATCCAGGCGACAGATCGTGACTCAGGTGAAAACGGCCGGGTGACTTACTCCATCGATTCAGGGAACTCGGGCGCCTTTTTCACTATATATCCAAACTCTGGTAAACTGACAACTCAAAAGAGCCTCGACCTGGAGTCCGCCCAAATCGCGAATTGGACCTTTACACTTTTAATCGTGGCAACAGACCATGGAAAACCTGAACTATCTGGTAATGCTACATATGAGTTGAAGATCGACAGTGTCAACGAATTCACGCCTCAGTTTACTCAGCCTGGACTGTCTCTTCAAATTCCCGAAGATGAGACTGTGGAAGCTTTGCTTTGTCAGGTGACAGCCACAGATAAGGACTTCGGGCCAGATGGAGTGGTTAGGTGAGTGTAGGGTCGTCATGTTTCTTGCCTTTGGCCCGTGTGTCCCAAGTCTTGGTAATTAACAGGCCGAGGAAGCTGTTGTACGCTTGGTGTATTTACATTAAAGATAAAGTTTTCAATATTTTTGCTGATAACATGATGAAACTATCAGCTAACAAAGCTGTTGTTGATTTTAATATTCAGCCCGGAGAGTTAATCCACTGTAAAGCCAAATTTTAAGAAACATTTTCTTGTCTTCGAGATTGTAGCTGGTGCTTGCAAAATATTGAGGCGCCGTTACTATGGGTTGTAGTTTTGACAACACAAAAAATGATACTGTAAACACTTTATATGCCACTTGCACATCACCCATAATGTACCTTTTTTGCCCCCCCCCCCCCCCTCCCAATTTTTTCATAACCTTTGTTTTTCATTTCTCCTGGGTATTACAGCCGTCCTAGGGGAAATTAAAAACAAAACATTTTTGTGGGCAAATAAGCTGCATTATGGGAGATGTGCAAGTGGCGTATAGGAAGCTAGGCCGGCCCCAAGAAGGCTCACTGGCCAATTCCAACGCGCGCCGGTGGGGACTGTGTCTTAAGTCTTGGTCCTGAATCATGATAATAACAGGTTTGAAACAATCTCAACCTTTTATAATAAGGACAAGTTCCATGGTTTGTGTAATAAGATTGGAGTACCCTTATTGCCCTGCTTAGTATTCTGGTTTAGTTAACGAAGTCGTATAATAGGTGGCAATAAAAGTTGCTATAATAAAGGTAGGCGTACTGTAATAAATTCAGGCATGATTTCAATTCATTAGCCTACAATTGGAACTTTTTTTTCATTGCTATCCCTAACTAATGGTTCCATTGTTGTCTTTGTACAAGATACCAGATTGAGGGTGGCAACGATGACAAGCGATTCCGGATGGACTCTTTCAATGGAAAAATATACGTACACGCTCCACTGGACAGAGAGACAACACCTACATATCACCTTAAAATAAAGGCGTTTGACACGCCAACTCAGATAGCCAATCAACGGTCTTCATTCATTTTTGTCAACGTGACTCTAACTGACGTCAATGACAACAAACCAGTTTTCAAAACAAGCTCTTATTACGCCGCTATCAAAGAAACTGCAGGTGTGGGAGAAGACGTCATTAATGTAGAAGCGACAGATGCAGATGCAGGTCTGTACATGTTCCAGCGATTGTTTTATCAAGTTTCACGTTGTTGTCTCTGTTGTTGTTATTTTTGTTGTTGGTGGTGGTGCTTTAAAGCTTATTTCTAAAGCTTTGAAAAAAGACAACAACTGTTTTGCTGAAAAACAAAGCATAATAGAACGTGATTCCTCAAAACGGAACTACTTATAGCTAGTTAGTGGTCTGTAACCATTTCTTTAAAGATCATATGTCAAGAGGATATTGCTATTTTAGATCAATGAAGTCATTGCTTAGTGCTTTTACCTATACACAAAACGCTAATTTAGAGTACTGAAAATATATATGAGACAAGTTTCATCTGGGGGCACTAACCGTAATAATTTTGTAGATGAATTTTGCAGGCATGGCATCAAAACTTCAAAAGTTGGCCCAAAATTTTTCAAGTTTCAATCCATTTTCAGTCCATCCGTGCCATCCGTGCAACAGTTGACCTACCGGAAACAGCATTCAGTGCCTAATTACAGTCTTAACTAACAAAATTGGACCATTATTTTTAAAATTGAGTTGATGGGAAGACAAATTTTAGCTTTTCAAAAATATAGCAATAGCGTGACATAGTTCCTTTAAGAAGCGTTAAACTGTCCTCAGAATTTGGAAAAAACATTGTTCAATTATTTTGGGGGGGGCGGGGGGGGGGTGGGTGTTGGTTGGATTTTCTTTTATTGCTACTACATACGTTTGCATCATTAACACTTGAAATAAAGAAACTTTCTTATCTTAGCTATTTACGTTCGAGGTATATAACATTCTGACTCAGTAAAGTACTGACCGAACAGCGAAATGAGAGTTTTGTCGTTTATTTCTGACAAAGGTGTAATTTAATGTTACAGGGACAAATGGACAAATTGAATACAAAATCAAGTCTGGTAACAGTCATGAATTCTTTGAAATCAACGCCTACACTGGAATGATCAAAGTCAAAAAGAGCCTTGATCTGGAAACACAGCAGCACCTACAAGATCTGCTATACACCCTCACCATCGAGGCGTACGACAAAGGCTCCCCGTCATCGCTTAGCAACGTTGTTCTGGTTACCATAGAGATACAGAGCGTAAACGAGTTCGCGCCAAAACTCCAACACCCGGATAGTATTTACGTGAAAATTCCAGAGAACATTGCTGTTGGTTCTAAAATTGCCAACATTAATGCCACAGACAAAGACTATGGAATAGATGGACAACTTACTTACTCCATATTTTCCGGCAATGAAGACAATAAGTTTGCTATCAACTCCAACACGGGCGTTATAACGATAAATAATGAGCTGGATTATGAAACAGTCGTAAGGTATACCCTTTCTGTAAGAGTTAGCGACAACGCTCCACCTGCCCAGCGGCGTTCTACCGTTGCCAAGGTAACAGTTCGCCTAACTAACGTGAATGACAGTGGAGGGGTGGACGTACTGATACAGGATGTGAGGAACAGGATAACGCCCCCAGGGGACCCTGCAGAGGTGGTTGGCGTAGCAACAAGTAGCCCCATATCAGTGGTTCTGCTGTATGAAAGCGGTAAGTGAAACCAAAAATGCAGTCACGTTCTACTGAGAAAACTAGGTACAGCTACAACACCTATCATGAACTGAAAAATGTTAGTGACAAAACACTTAATCAACAGCGATTTACTTAAGCACGAGAGTCTTGAAACTCATTAAACAAGTTCGCTTAATTTGCGACTTTTGGTCTTGAGAAAGACGTTAGGATGACGCCGAACCGTCGACTTTTTACGCCCAATCTACTCGTTTTTGTTTTACTGCAAAAGGTTCCCTTAAGTTCAAGCATGGGGAAAATTTATGAAGTTTGGTATATACTTGCATCGGCCAAAGGTTATTTTTATCCTTCTCCTCTAGCTGTTAATTGGAGGCGTGTGTGGCCGAGCGGTTAACACCTCGAACTCTGGATCTGGAGGTCCGGGGTTCATAGCCTCGCCTGTCGCGTTGTTTCCTTAGACAAGGAACTTTAGTCCCCTTTGTCTCTCTTCACCCAGGTGTATATATGGGTACCGGCGACATACCTCTGGGGGGGTAACCCTGCGATAGACTAGCATCCCGTCCAGGGGGGAGTAGCAATACTCCTAGGTGCTTCATGCTAATGAAACTGGGATAAGCTCCGGTCGTTTGGGCCTTTGGCTCGTGTATGCCTCTACCTTTATCTCTAGCTGTCAATTAGATTAAAACCTGCTCCATGAGTATAAGTTAGAAAAGAAATATTTTTTTCACCATTATATCTTCCCTGCCTAACAGGAAAACAAGAAAAGCTATCAGCTACAGACAGCAGATTGACATTTGACGACAACTCCGAATCACGTGGTCTCTTCAGAATTGTCCAGATCGACGGAAAGAAGGTCATAGAAGCAAATCGCGCTGGTCGGCCGGGTCAAGGCGTCCTGATCGTTCGAGTTCATAACGTTTACAATGTCCGCGTTAAAATAGACGTTGTTGGGTATTCCTCATTAAAACTGAGAGCGGTACCCTATCCTCTGGTCAATCCATCAAATGTCACTTTGTCTTCTTTAAAGCGAATTGGTAGTTACCTTGGAAACTACCAACAGGCTGCTCTACAGATCTACCTCCTTTTGACTGACAATTCTACCTATGACGTTTCCATGATGACGTCCGCATCGTTCGAAGTCGTCAGCAATGACGTAGGAGTTAAAGTTTCGCTCGGTCCCAATCCTAAGAATTTATTATCAGCAGACAAGCAAAGCGCCGCTGGATGGATCAGCATTTCTGGAAAGTTCTCTGGTAAAATATCCCCAAGTTTTCATCTTGAAGTTTCAACGGATGTAATATCTGTGAATCACATCCTCGCTGTGGAATTAAATGGCCTGAGAAATCAGACTCTCGTTGGACTTGCGCATTCCACGAAGGCTCAGATTCAAGGTGATTTTCTTATGAATGACAGCTCCGTCCTCAGAATCCAGGATTTTGTCAAGTTCTCCGATCTTGTGACGTTTACGATCAGTAACGCGCATGCGGCTTCCGTTGATTATAAGTCTGGTGTTGTCACGTTAAATTCAGACTATGGTGACATCGTGACCGTGACAGTAACACCACTTCAAGGTATTGCCAAACAAAAGTTTGTGCACTTTTATTGCAATACCATCCCACCAGTTGGAGGTGTTGATATTGGCCTGGAGGTCGGACCAGCATTGCCACCAATATCGGCTAACCATAGAATTGCAATCCCTGTACGCGTGAATCCTGGAATGTCCAAACTTCTTGCATATGATGTAAAGATATCATACGACTTCAACAAAGTTCGCCTTGTTGCGATAAAGAGAGCTAAGGTTTACTCGCACACGGAGGGACAATTGCATCTAGCCGACGTCACGAACCCTGATAACATAAGCTCGCATATTGCAGATTTGATTTTCGACACCAAATCTGGAGGAGTGCTTAAGATTCAGGCCTCAGTGAGCATGTTAATTGACCAAAAGCTTGGCTTCATCGGCGTAGGCAACAACAAACCAGCTATCCAGCAATGTGCGGATCTGCCGCTGGGTGATGTGACCGCAGATTGTGTGTTTGATATTCAGGACGCCGCTTATACGATGGCTTACAGTTTGGCACAGGAAAGGAACTTCATTGGCGAATTTGAACAAAGTTTGTTCAAGAAAACGACTGCAAAAATGGTATTAAAACTTCATGCATAATATCTACGCGTAGACATCAAAGTCTCATCACTATGTCTCAGTTCATTTCACCGGAAAAAATATAAACTTCTAAATAATGAATAAATAATAGAGACTTGTGACAACGAATGAAAGGTTTCCGATTATGAAATTGCAAACTACAACAGCTTATTGACCCGCTCACGCACTGTCAACAGAGAGGGTGCAACATTTAGGTGGTGTAGTTTGGTTAAAATCTCCCGCCCTTTCCCACTGCATCCCAACCTTTTATTCTAAACTATTTTACCTTTTCTTGAGAAAGAAAAAATAAGATGTTTTTCTTTCTTGGAATATGGGGGAGGGGATACGAGCTAATCACCGGGGTGGGGGAGACTCCGCATATGAAATGGGTGGGGATGCTCGTCGTCTCGCTTAGGAGTGTAAATTTCGGATTTTGGTGTCACTTAGGGTGTTCTGGGCAAAATGCCATCATATTTAGCCGTGAAGGTCTCGTTTAAGGTTGCAAGGGAAAAGAGTATAAAAATGTATATTTGATATGTATATTTTTTTCGTCTCGTTTAGGGGTCAAAAAACGCATGGGCCACGCCCAGATCGGTCTCCTTTAGGGGTGTAATTCAAAATTTCCGACGAGCATCCCCACCCCTTTCATATGCGGAGTCCCCCCCCCAGGGGGCTAATCATCGCCTCCTGGCTCTACCAGGGGTTGAGTTTGTTGTTGGTGTTCCCCTCCCCTCAAAATAAAAAGTTTCTAAATTCCAATTCGACCAGGAATCAGGTGGACTTTGAACCACTATTTGGGTGTGCTGCCTCTACATTATTATTTATTTGCATCCTCCGATAACATTCGCAAATCTCGTTTTTCGGGAAATAAAGTTTTACATAACTTTATCGCCATTAAAAGTGTTTCTTTTGTTTGTCCTAAAGGTAACGGCGATGGACTTCAATGTCAATGGAGATGTAGAACGAAACGACGCCTTCTTATTAGCCCGTGCAAATTTGGACATGGCACGTTTTATACGCAACTGGCGCGTCGCCACTCCTGACCATCAGAACGAGACGACCAAATGCGAATTTAAAATTACGATAAAGCTGAGCAAAAGATCAGGGAGACCAGAAACCAACACTAAAGTGTTCTTCGAATTTGCAAGTGGACAAACTATCTTAAGTTCGCAACTCAAAAACACTGAATTCGATGCTGGAGAACTGGTGAGAACTTACGATAACTTAGGCAAATTATTTGGAGGCATCGTAAAAGCTCAGAGTCGAGGTGACAGCTTTCACATAGAGGCCAAAAAATCGCAGATGGAAATATTTAACATGGGACTGTCCGTGATTGTTGTTACTGAAGACTCTCAGCGGCTGGAACCGATAGTCACTCCATATTTCATATATGCCCGTCCACCGATGTTTTCCTCTGAGTTGAGCGTAAATTTGGCGCCAAATCTGGCCTGGGTTTTAAAGAATGGCCACTCGCCACAGTTAATGGTTAACATTACGGAGTCGTACGAGTCTTGCCAAGACCCACCAGTTATCAACAACGTCATGATAGTCTTTCAAAATGATTACAAAGACGTCCATGGCAAAGAGGAAACTTTCATTAAAGTAATGATAAAGCACTTTACTGATCGACTTCCACTAATAAAGATTGAAAAAGTCAGACTGGCAGCAGGGAGTATCATAGTGTATTTTGACGTCATCGCCCCGAAATCCCGGATGGAAAATACCCTCCTTGAATTGTGGGACATGGTTAAGTCTGGTTACACCCTGCAAGTAAATGACACCAAGTATCGAGCTAAACCAGTCATGCGCGTTGGAAGTAAAGATTATCAAGGCAATGATAAACCCGAAAAAGCCGACGAAAGTGCCTCCAAATTTCCTGTGGGTGCCATTGTTGGAATTTGCGTGTTGGTTACCCTTGCTGTTATTGTTACAGTGGTTTGTTTCTGCTACAAGAACCGTTTGATGAAAAAAAAGGAGGGTTTTAAATGGAAGAGCGTAAGTAAAATTAGTATCCTCGACTCGCGTTCAACCTCTCGCATGAGCGAAGAGATTAGGGATCATGAGATGATTCTGTTCAGCGGGTTATCCAATGACAATTTTCACTCTTCAGACGATGATGCATTCCCATCTCCAGTACCATCGCCAAGCATCCCCCGGGTGCAGATCATAAAACCGGAAGAGAACTTTTTCAAACGGAGGTCAAGGCAAGTAGAATCCACGTCTTCCCAAGTGTCCCTAGAAGCCTGGACTGGTGACAGCTCTCCAGTGCTTATACGACGTCAAATGGAGTTAGGTCGACCGTCCCCTCAGTTACTAGTGCCCTCTTCAAAATTGAGGGGGCCTTCGCCTGTGGGAAGACCTCAAACCAAGCGCTCAAGCAATAGTGAGCTTCTAACTCAAGAGACCTCATCCGCTGAAGGCTCTCCTCTCGATATGACCCCGCAAAGTTCCAGGCGCAGCAAGTCACCGAATAAAAGATGTTTGATGGTTCAAAACAGCATGAGCGCGAGTGACTCATCTGACGAAGAGCCTGCGGTCCGAAGCAGGCCGACCTCGTCTGCTAACACGTATGCCTCTGGTGGAAGATCTGTGACACCTCAAACTAGCGGCTCAAAGTTGGCAGATAATGGCCGGAGATCTCTGTCTCCTCCAGCTAGTGGCTCAAAGTATAAGGACCATGGCTCGGAGGTATTTACATTTGATAAACCTGTGGTGTACCGAAAGCTGAAGTCACAGGAAAGCGGATCGAGAAATTCATGTAAGACTGAGTTTGTTGAAAATTTATACACTAACCATCAGTATTTTATTGTCTTTCTTCTGTTCTCTTTTGGAATTTTGCAAGTGTCTGAAAAAGTCGCTGACTTATAACGGATGGGGGATGAGGGACGGAGGAAAAGGGAATATTTTATAACGGGGCCCTGTTCCATGACCCTTCCGTGCATTTTACTATAATTTTGGCGAAAAATATCTTCCGTAAGTCCCCTTCTTGGATAAAGCTTCTCATTTAGCTTGTGTTCATTTATTTGCAGCTCATAATGAGTCAGGTGACTCGACCCGGTCAGGTTCAGGCCACAGTACTCCCAAAGTGAGTGTTACTTCTCTTCCGCCAGGATTTGTAGGAGACAGTAACGACGGAAACGACATCACCATAGAAGGTATTGGGTTTACAAAGGTGTTCATTGTCCTGGGAACAAAACAATTTTATAGCGGTACCCCATTGTTAAGACAATTTGGCTCTCTATCCATCCAAGAAAATTTGGTTATGACGTCAGCGTACGTCCACCCGTACGTACAGACTCTGGAGGAGTGGGAGAGGATGGGGAGGGAGTTTGAAAAGAGCTTGAGTGGGAAGTGGAAACGCCCTTTTTTGGCGGGAAATCGCGCTTCTGGGCCATGGGCAGCCCGCGCTTTTCTTGGCGGGAAGAAACACGCCCCGACGTGTAAAGGGAAAAAAACATCAACAAAGCCGAATCTTTCTTTTGACTAAATTTTAATGCCTACTTTATCGTAAGAGCGTGAAATAAAAAAACAACTGAGACCAATTTCGTTTGAAGAAAAACATGAAAATTTGATAGCGGCGGTGAGAAAATGAGAGATGCAAGCGGCCACCAAGGGGAAAATGAGCGGCAGTGAAAAAAAAGGGGGAACAGGAACACATGAAACATTTCCTCCATAAAACGTGTAACTAGGAAGTTTCTGGAAATTTCACGTTGTGCAAGACAACGGCAAAGAAATGTACCAAAAAAAGTGTGCTGCACTTGCAAAGTTGTGTTTTTTGCTAATTACACCTATTTTTGTTGTTGTTTTGCTTTTGTTTTCGTTCTCGTTGTCTTCACCATTTCTTTAGCATTACACGATTTTATATTTTGTTTGAGTAAACTATTAATATTGAAGAGAGCTTCGCTTTTAGCCTTGGCTAAATCTGTACATTACATGACGGTAGACTTTATGGACCTTTCTCAAAATGGTTGCCCTGGAGAAAATGTTCAACCAGTCACACGCACTACCCTAGGGTTAGATACATTATGCTCCAAAATTCGAAAACAACGGCATTATGCCTAAAATTTTGCTCGAAAAGTAGCATTATGCTCGACGATCTTGGTTATATTTGATGCCCTTTTCCATGCCTGCAGACAAAAAAATACCTCCATAAGCCAGAAACATAATATCTTATTGCATCAATTACAATTACAAGAAATAAGCGACAAATAATGCTCAAAAGCACTTAAAAATGTCTTATTTTAATGAACTCCCTAGGCTTGATGATGCAACGGCGCAACCAGGCCTTGAAAGTAGCAGCCAAGCCTTTGAATGAGTTAATTTCTTAATAAAAGCATTTGAAAGTGAAAATGGCTCATAACATTTATGGAAATATTAGTTTCATCGTCATTATTATTTATCTCTTTATGCTGAAAAAAAAAATGCCCATTACGCCGGCATTTTGCTCGATGCTCGGACTATAGCATTACGCCCAAAATTATGCCGGCGTTTTGTATCTAACCCTACACTACCCTGATCTGGGTAGTGACACGTCATCAGTATGGAATTTCTGCAGTCGTTCATTTCGCGGGGGAACATGGTGCTGTCGCGAAATTTTTGCTGGTTTGTTTTTTTGTACGTCTGCCTGGTACATTCTGAAGTGTCCTGCTTTATTTCCCCGTTTTGCTAAAATTCATATCTTCTCTTTTTCGACAGAGGAATCATACACCGTAAGACTACCTGTCAACATTCTTAACACCGTGAAAGAAGGTGAAAGCGGAAAACCTTTCACCAAAATCGGCTTCATCGAGTTTCCTAGCAACGCAACATTGAGCGAGATCCGTAAAAAACTCAAGAAAGACTTTGCGGAAATCCTTCAAAGCAAGCCCTTCCTATTTCAGGACGCCATGATGGCGGATGTTGAACCATCGAGGGAAGAAGCGACTAAAAGCATATACAACTTGTCAGTCATCATTAGATTTACCAATGAGCAAGGTAATAGTAGTATCAGTATTGAAAGTTTATTTCACTTTTGTAACCTGCTGGAATAATTATTTTCCTGCCACGGAAATATAACCAATAATGATAAAGGTGAGGTTGCAAGGAGAATGTGGGGTGTGAAATGTAGAAAGCGAGAGGTGTTTGTTTTTGTAGAAAAAATATAAAAGAAAATGTAAAGAAAACAAAGGAACATTTTTTTTCTTCAAGAAATCCTTGGCAAGTTTTTCAGCAATCAAAATTTAAATTATCTTTACCGCAATTAGTATTTTTATGTAAAAGATTTTGGTATTGTGATGCCGCTGATTTCATACACTTAATCTGGGGCTAGTGGAAGGACCCTTCGGGCTAGCTTGTTTTACTTACGAGTTGTCCGAGGGGATGTTATTAAAACGGGGAACGAGGAACGAGCACGGAGAACGGGAAAATGAAAATGGGAACGAAACCTAACTTGAACCCTAGCCCTATCAGTAACTTCATTTTCAATTCTTAGCTTGTTCCCATTTTTCATTTTTTCCGCTCCCCGTGCTTGTTTCCCGCTCCCCGCTCCCCGCTCCCAGTTTCCTGTTTTCCGAGGTAAAAATTCAATTGTTCCACTCAGGTTTGGATAGTAATAGAATTAAGAGAAGACTCAATAACATGTCAATTGTTCAAATTTCAAATTTCCTTTTTAAACTTCACTGGTCATCCCTTGTCGAAACGTTCAAAGAAGGACCTCGATCTTAACACGTGTATCATGGATTGTTTTTCTCCCGTCCACAGAATCTGCACGACTTTTCTGTACGTGTGGTACGCCGGCTCATTTCCAGTGCTCAGCGTGCTTCAAGCGAGGATACTGTGGCCGTGAATGTCAGCTGAAAGACTGGCGGTACCACAAAATAGTTTGTGAATTCGTGGAAGTGTCCAGCGTTTAACACTTCAGTTAGTGGAGTTTAAAAGTTTTAGAAAACAGGCGTTTATTTCATGGTTGTGAAGCGTCCTACATTGAACAAACTATACATTCGTTTGCATTCTAGATTTTGATTTCACTTACCTTTCATGAAAATAAGGTTCCTGTGTGAGAAAACGCATCTCATTTAGCGAATTCTAGTAGAATCTACATGTACTAGTTACGATCTGAGTTCGAAAGATCCCGTGTGTATCACCCTATCTTCTGTTCTAAAATCTTCTTCGATTTCATACGAACCCGGAACAAAAACATGTCGAAGTATGCCATTCTTTGGGGCCGACCAGTTCACTTTTGAGGGAGGGCTGGTGTTTGGGTTGGGCAAGAATGTTTTTCTCAAGCTTACAATTTTGACAATTGCGATCGAGTATTTTCCCCGATTTTTTGCATAAACATAAAACTTTTAAGTTCAGGCATGATTGTTTTGATCCAAATCTGTTTGCAGGATATTTTTGAAGTTCTAAAATCCCCACCTTCAAAAGTTAAATGATCGACCTCTTATAAGAAACAGGTTTAATTCCAAATGCATCAGTGTGTTGAGTGATGACAATAAAGTACTCTCCAAAGTCTAGCAAATGATTGTGCGAGACCTGATTACAACATACTCACCGGGGAAGGGGTGGGGTACTCCTAGCAAGTTTCTTTTGCGGGGAGTGCGGCCGCGCCCGGTTCTCCAAATTCTCACTGTTCAGCGGCATTTTATAATGACGACGAATTTTGTAATAAGAGTTGCAGCATTTTGTAATCGTTAGTCTACGCGGCAAATTGTAATAACGTCTGACCCAAATTGTAATAATTAAATTAATACAAAATGCGTCGTTATTACAAAATGCCGCAGAACACTCACCCTATTTCAGTCTAAAATTACAGACCGATGTCTTAACGTTTTTCTCTGTTTGCGAAGCCATTGACCTTCTGCAAGTAAAGGCAACAATTCATGGTTTATTCGCGCGCTGGAAGTTCGGATTTGTTTTCACCTTCGGCTGTGGCACTTCTAACATCATGTGCACGAGCTTTTCCACTTTGCGTTCTAGATCACTTCAAGGAGGATTGATACCAACTTATGGTTGTAAGAAAAAGTAGTGTAGGCAAGGGCGGATTTAGGGGTGGCCCTGGGGGCCCCGGCCCACCCTTTTGTCGATATTTAATTTTTCAGCATTATATGTCCAATATGGAATCCAGGCGTTTGCTAACAGTCATATGCATGGATAATAGAAAGGCTGGCTTTCTATTATCCATGGCTAAATTTAAGCGTCCAGAATGCAGTAGATTGCATCTCAGAAAACTTCAGTCTCAAAAATTTTCCTCGAGGAGCATGCGCCCGAAACTCCCTAGAAAAGGGCGCCGTTCGCAGTCCTGATGGGCGCTATCGCGCCCACATTGTCACTATACTGAATCTCGAGGCCCCCTCTATCACAAAATCCCCTGTCCTCCTCTGCTAACGCCCTGTTTCACTAAATTAAACAAGCTCTCCACCCCCAGAGTAAAGGACTCGAAAAAAGTTTTGTACAGTCGTCCAGGACAGGAAGAATTTCCTGCTGGGCAAGCAACTGTTAAAATTCACTTGCCTAATGGGCAAGGGTCTAAGCAAGTCATCTTCTAAATTATTAACTAAGACGAGAAACAAGTGGCTTCGGACAAGCAATATGTGAGAGCTGCTTATAAGAATCGGAATCCAATTTTTTTTCAAGACCTGAACACCCACCACCACCCTCCCCCACCCGATATGAATCGTGCTCGAAATAAATAAGCCACGGTGGGGGAACTAATAGAATATTATTTCATTGTATCAGAGGTAGCAATTTCGCAAATCGTTACTGTTGCTCTGACAAAATAATTATAGAAACGTCTTTTATTTTAAGCAGTTACAAATCAATATATTCTTGTTTGGTTTAAATATTTCGTTCACTTAAAATGAGAATAGTGGAGTTCACAGAACTCCCTTCCTTCAGAAAAAATAAATGGATGAGGATTCGTAAGAATTATGAACCAAAACTAAATAGACTATTTGGCTGAAAACATGCAACTCTCATAAAAGAAATGCTTAAGTGATAACTGTCACAAGCTTATTTCAACCCTCGTTTAGACTGAAGGGTTCAAGAACCCGACTCGTCCCCAGTCGTCTCTATCTCTCCCTAGTGGTGCGCGGGGTGTGATGGGAAGGAAGAAAGCGCGGGAGAGTCTTCCTATTTGTTCCCTTCTCATCAACCCCTGCTCCGGTCGCGCGCGTTACGCGGGGACGACTGCACATCTGGCGTTTTTTCTGTTGTTTTGTTTTTAGAAATGCGGGTTAACCGAAACTGAGGTCTTATCCTGTCAAAATGCCTTGACACTACCATTGACAGACACTATTTGTATTGCCAAGAGTACTTACTCTTAATAGGACTATTTGCGCGAGCATTTGTTCGCTCCAAAACGTCTCTGCTTTAACCCTATTAAAACCCCTTTCTAACACTCGCGAGAGGGAAAAGAGAACATTTCTAAGAAACTTCAATTCAGTCGGTATGAATGTCAAAACTGTTTCCAACTCAATGCCGAGTTAACTTGAGAAGTCGAAAATAGGGAGGGTCACGATCATCCAATGGTAAGACAAGAAACGAGCATTTCTATTTTCACGATACCTAAAGACATTCCCATGTGCCTATTGGCCAAGGGTGCTGTCCATGAGAGAGGAAATTAAGAGCGCAATAAAAAGTACCGAAATGCTTCTTCCTATGCCACGAGCGTATGATCTTCAATTATTGTTAAAAAAAAAAAAAAAAGAAAGAAAACAAAAGAAAAAGAAAAAAGAAAAACAATTTAAAAGATCACTTAATTGAATCATAGATCACCTTCTGCTCAACTTTTTCCTTGCTCGATGCTCGGATCAAGGTCAGTTTATGGCATAATTTATCATCTTTTTATGGGTCACAAGTGTAGCAAATAGAAATTGCTGATTCCAGAATTTGATCATTGCAAAATTGTGAACAAGAGAGTACGATAAAGAGAAATTCAAATTCAGTTCATCTTCCACAGACTTTTCCAGCCCAAAAGTAAACATGAACGTGTGAAAATATGAACTCATGTTTCTTTAGTAATTAAAACTAGTGCTGCCAGCTGACATGCCAACATTTTCCACCAACCAACCAGAATTTCACATCCCTGAATACTGCTAAGAGCCACATTATAAGAAACATCAAAGAATAGAAGAGGGAATCGACAGTCAAAAATTCCACAGCAATTCCCCGTCCTGAACAACATATAAATCTACAACAATTTTACAAAATTTTTGAGTCAATTTGATGTTTTACAGATTTCTTTCAAAAAAACTCCACAAAAATGTGGCAGCCTTAAAGTACATAACATATTCACCTAAGGGATGCACAAAGCACTACATTAAACATAATACCCTTGATTCAGTTTAAGCCTAAATTCAAAATTTTTGGTATTTGCAATTACTACAAAAGAAAAACTTCCTATAAACAGTGGGGGGGGGGGGGGGGGTCAGTTATGTTCGGGCCTCTTGGAATAGGTACAAATTATTTGTCGCAGCAACAGCAATAATGTTCTCTTGCGGATGCCAAGCAGTGTGAAGTATCTTATGACTAAAGTCCAAACATTCTACTGCGATATCATCTTTCTTTCTTTTCCCTGTAACAGCTACACGACGAGGCTTAAGGATCTGCCGAGGCTTGCTGAACTCCGGCGATGCTTCTAAGCAAATATCTTGTTTATCGCTTCGGTCAAAGATGTGGAAGAAATTATTGTAGGAACCTGTCATTATGGATCTGAAAGAAAAAATTCACAGACATTCAGTGCTTTGTTACAAGACATCATAAAACTACAACTAAACAGATTAACCCTGCAAGTCCCAAGACTTAGTAACAACAACTGATTACTTTAGATTTAGCCAAGTTGAAAAAGCGAAACCCTCGTGGGATCTTTTAACATTTTTTTTTCTTTTTTTTTAAGTAATTTAACTTTCGCCTTCAGTAATAAGCAAACTGAATTCTCCCTGAAAACATGAACCTGAGCCTGCAATCAATTGGAAATCAATAACTAGTCAGAGGAGGACTTTAAAAAAAACACACCACCTAAACAAGTTGAATACCTGAGCCTGCTAAACAGTAATGTGGAACTCGTCAGTGGATATACAATTTTTTGACAGCTGTCAATTGACCATGACATGAACGTCCAATTTCAGTTAAAAACAAATTGAATGCCTTGGCAGGCCATCTGATATTACGCGATGGTGCGATTTGGCACAATATTGACCTCAAATCGCATTCGATTGCACAATTTGAGGAAATCGCATAATTTGTAAAATAATGCTAAATTCAAGGAAAGTAAACAATAGATTCTAACTTTAATCAAACAATTTCCCAATCTTAATGTTATTATATGTGATTTACCACTAAAGCGAATGCCTTGCAAGACATCTGAAACCTTCGATTGCAGTACCTTGGCAGCCATTTTGATTTCAGAGACAAGCAGTGTGGTCAGCAGTGTAAATGCATCATATAATATTAAACAAGTGTCCTTTTTCTTTCTTTCTATTTGTTGTCTTTTCCAGGTCAACATAATTGGACAAATTTAACTATTTTGTTTTAAAATAGAGGTTTTATTATTTTTCTACATTCAAATTGCCTGCGCGGTTAAACAAAATTAACGTGATTTTCTCCTTTGAAACCTGGAAAAACAATGTTAATTAGCCCCAAAAAATCGCATAATTTATAGCATAATAGTCCTTTCTTATCGCACAATCTACCCTGAGAATGTTGCACAATTTCTGATTTTTTATCGCACCCTATCAGATGGGCTGCCTTGGACTCGCTAAAAAGTATGACATTTCAAATCTGCTAAAGTGAAGAGGCTGACATATGGACATACGGATGACTCTGTCCCAACCAAACAAAGGGTTGCTAACTACTGATACTTAACATACTCTATTTAAGTCAACCCAGTTCAGAGCTGGAATTTCACAACTTGGCATTAATGGCTGACAGGTCAGTCAGCAGGTACACTGTATGAAGTCAGGGTGCAGAGAAAGTCAGTTTTACAGCTTGACCGTAGCTAGCACTTACACTGTACTAGCCTGAGAATTGGCCGTGGTGCTTATTCAATTAAAATAATACAGTACATGGGCATTTTTTTATATATATGATGCAACTGATGAAGTGTCGGTCAGAATTAAATTACATGGCAATCATATAATCCAGAGAGCCTCGTACATGTTGTGTTATAAGATGCAACCCTCCTACTCAGGAAAGCCCCACATGTGGTCATATTAACTGGTTTCTAGTCAACCAAACTACATTCACTTAGTAAAAAAATATTGACAAAAAAGAATGTGAACAACAGGAAAGCCATCACATACCCATCATTTCCATTCCAGACACACTCAAACTTGTCAAAGATGCAGTCATTTTCATATAGTGAACATAATTTGCTTCTAAGGTAATCATGCACATTGTACACCTCCATTGGCTTGTTCTCCATGTTTAAATCCCAAACCTTCACTGTTAAGTAGTCACGAGTCAACATGTACCGCCCATTGTGACTAAATCGAACATCAGATATTGAAGAAATTATTTCTGAGAAGAATGATCTCGCTCCAGGATCCTCTGGTTCTTCAAACACTACCACGAAAACAATGCAAAAAATTAATAGTTCAAAAACTCTTAACACAAAGCAAAGACATTTTGATTGTCTAAAAAAAACAGTGTACAAAGCTATGTTTACTTGGTGATTTCAAGTTAAAATAACTGGGAAGAATAATGCTGCCATCATTTCACATCTTCAAATATTATATTTAGCATCGACAACCACCACAGAAGCAGAAAGGTCTTTATTAAAATTAATGAATTTGCATTTATCAAACTTTGTGGTGTTTATTCCAATGCAAATTTTATTTTTTAGATTTTGATGTGAATATTTCATTACCAGAACTTTTGAGAAACCAGTCCCTGGTTCTCATATGCAGCCAATGTACCAGCCGCATATATGCCGGTTCTGCCTGCAATATTGCTCTTGGGCGACTAGAAAATCTTAGTTTTTTTCACACAAATCATATGCTGGGCTCCCTAGATTGTACAGGTTCCTTAGAGCACAGCCTTGGATGTGTCGCCAGCAACAGAAACATAGGTCTCAACTGCTACCATACCTACAAAGTTTTAGTCTGAGAAAACAGCCGACATTTTACGACACCACCACTGGTTTCGCCATGAAATGACATCTGAGAAATGAGTACAGAAATTACATACTGATGACGTTTCACTACCCAGATCTGGGTAGTGCTTCTGATTGGTTGAAGCAAATCTTCCACTCAGCAGGACCAATCAGAACCACTACCAAGATCTGGATAGTGAAGTGTCATCAGTATGGAATTTCTGCACTCAGTTCTCAGACATCATTTCGTGGGGAAACCAGTGGTGGCGTCATGAAATGTCAGCTAGCAAAGTTCAGCTAGAGTCATCTTCACATGTTGGTGGTTAAGACTATGATACATGTAGCCTCTGTTGCTGGCAACGTCTGTTCTGATATCATGGGAACAGTATCCCAGGCAGTTATACCAGGATCCAAAATTAACTTTTTAATATGGGCGCCAACTGGCGAGCAAGTATAAATTTTTGGTCGCAAGAGAGCAAACATTGGTCACCAAAAATTTCCCCTCTCTTTTCTTCAAATAAAAGTTTAAACACAAATAAAAAATGTATGGTACGGACATTTTTTATGCTCGAAAATTGCACTACTTCCACTCCAAATACCAAAAAACAACCGTTCATATACTAGTGAAGTCTTATCAGGGTGCAAAGGAAGTCAGTTTTACAACCAGCCTCACGGCGCCCAGCTAAGAAATTCTGGTCACCAGAACTGAATTTTTAGTCGCATTGGTGACCAGGAAGGCACAATTTCAGACCCTGTATACTGGTGGCTATGTTGCAAATAGCTTGGTGACATAATATAGGAAGACTGCAATGAACTAGCAAAGGAAATAAAACAAAAAGCACAGATGATGCTCTTACTTTTAGAATGACTATCACATAAAGCTGACTGCCTCATATCACACAGTCTGACAGTTCCTTTACTACTGCTGTATGCAAATGTGCTACATTCTATTGGATGAAATTCTGCCGCAGTAATTACTTCTGTAAGTTCCTCCATGTTTGCTGGCTTAATATCAACAATATCTAAGTTTTGAGTTAAGGACTGTGATTTGACATGGCTTCCGACTATAGAAATAATCATACCATCAAACAGTAGTTTTTAAACAATGGTAGCAGCCTAAGCACATCAAATGGTGCACAAAAGCCATAAAATTTTGCTATTTCAGGGCTGCAAATAACGGACAGCAGGTTGCCGGTCATGATGACCGGCCAAATATTTTTTAGCCCGGACAAACCCCGATTCTGGCCGGTCAAATAATGAATACTAATAAATTTTTTTTGCCTAAGGAATATCCAATTATGCTGGCAATAGATCGTTATTACTACATTGACGTTCACATTTTTGACAGCAAATTGGTGAAAAATGCATTCGCACGTTGTAGAGTTCCTTTCCGCGGTTTTCACGTTTTCGTGTTACGTTCTACCTTGAGTATCATTGCATGGCGGTGTCTGAAGTCTCTTGAGGTAAAAAGTGAAGTGTAAATCCTTTTCAAACTCCCAAGGTTCAGGAAATGGAATACACATACAGTTCAGCAACCTTTAGAAATTACGAAAAAAAAAACAAAAAAATTGGGTTATTTTACAAAATCTGCACACGCTTGTTTTACGTTGATGTTCCGAAATGAACATCGGTGAAACTTGATCTTTTTCCTTGCCTGGCACATGATCGAAAGTCACTTCCTCAAAGAAGAATCGTCGCTGATATTTTCGGCAAAGATGTTGATTTGCATTGGCGAGAAGTTTGTTCCACAAACAGCGTGTTGATGATCAGAAGTCAATAAATAAATTTGGTCATCGCGCAACATTTTATCGCGAAGGGCTCAAATGTCAACAGAAATTTGCATAAAGTTGTTTACAAGAACGAGAATCTAGCGCCGCGATAGACGACGACCTTCCCTCTTGAGTAGCTTAAATTTTTATCAGACCATTCTGGAATCGATTCTGCAAACGAGATTCATGTTCGACATAAAAGAAATTATTATTAATAATTGCGCTAACATTTATTCCCGGAGAAACACAGGACGACCTGTTGAGAATTGCAATCGACTTGCCTGAATTCCTTCGAATTCCCAAAGAAGTGAAGAAGGTCACATTGCTGATTACAGCAAAGCCGAAAGTACAGTACGACTTGCAACGTTGCGTTACTTTTTAACTCAGTTTGTTATTCACTTTGTTACATTTCATTATGACATGACGACATGAAATTAATTTATTGCGGTGCTCTTTTTCTTAGAAGGGTTTAGTGCAAAGCAGCAAAAAACGCCAAAGAAAAAAGAAATCATTGCAGCGTTATCGAGCATTAAGCGACAACTCTATTGAAAATAAAATGTTTATATCCAAAAATGACCAGTCAAAATAACCGGCAAGACCGGAGTTTGACCGGTCAAGTCCACGATCAGGCCGGACATTGTCCGTTGACCGGCCGTTATTTGCAGCCCTGTATTTGAATTAGGAAATGCTGTTCAATTATGTTCATTAGAGAGTGAATTAAGTTTTTGTATGTATAAATATATAATACTAAACAAAATATAAATAAATGTAATAATTTCACTTCATCAGATCAGCTTGAAAAAGAGCTTTCAAGCCACAAGAATTTATTTCGAAATGAAACAAGTCATCTTACATTATTTCTGTCATTTGAATTCCCCCAGCAAACTTCACTTGCTAGATGGGCATGTTAGGAACAAAATTCACTTGCCCAACTGCAAAATCTACTAGTCCCTGGCTATTGGGCACGCTGATTATTAGCTTATCTACAGTCATTTAATCTGATAACAGAAAAAGGATACTATAACTCTGATCATTGATTCCAAGATGCCATAAGTTTATTCTCAGATCATCAGCAGATAAATATGTTTCATCATCACTATTTAGAGATATAGAGTTAATGTGGTACGTATGAGCATTGGCAAACACTCTCCTCGGACTAGCTTCCACAACCAGATCAGAAGGTTTAAATATCGGCACACGTAATGTTGTTACATCTTCTGGGCTTCTTGGAACTCCCTGGTCATCTCGAAGATTAAAGTTACAAGGGGCATAGCAACGTTCAGAAATCTTCCACAGTTTAACTGTCTTATCTGCAAAAGGAAAATGATGTTCAGAAAAGTAGCTTTCATTTGATAAAAACAACACTGTTAATTCCCACAAGAAATGACACCATAACTTTTAGTATTTCAGTATTTCTAGGAGCAGAGGGATAGAAAAAAAAGATTATTTCCACATTCTAATGGACAACTGAGGTTCTGGTTTTACTTGTCCAAATCTCGAGTCTAGTTGTATTTTGATGTAGAGTTAAATCAAAGCTTTAAATGGTGGAAGATTATGTATATGACACAAAACCTTTTCATTTATGTTGGAACTCATTTAGCACATACATCAACAGTGTCAATAATACAATCGCAAATGTAAAGTAAACAGAAGGTCTGTTAATAAATGCAAAGTTTATACCCCCCAACAGTTCCAGCCTCCATTGTGCATATTGAAATAAAATGGCAGATTAATCGTAATAGGTGCTGCAAAAACTGACCTGACTGTACACCTTGTTTTAAATTATTTTCTGGAGATTATTTTACTTGTTTGAAGGGTAAGTAAGACTATTACCCACTTGTAGGGCTCCAAATAACAGTCTGGCATCAAACACTGGCCAACTAAAATTTGCTAACTGTGTTCAAACTGTGTGCTCAGACATTATGTCCGGAGAAACATTTTATTGTAAATCATTTTACAGCAAGGAAGAATACAAATCTACCTTGGGTAAAACTTACTTTGTGTTAGGACAATCTCAAAGTCACAAGACAACATTGACTATAGTAATGAAGTTTTGATGTTATCACAAATGTGTCAGAAGCCTGCAAACTTTGTCAGTTATAAAAAAATGGTATGATTCTCCGAGTTACATACCAGAGACTAAAAGTACTGTCATTTAAGAGTTATGAATAAATTAAAAACTGTTTAGTTGAAGACATTTCAGTTCTCATCAAACAGAGATAGAACACCAGCATAAATGTAGTATTTATTTTTCAATAGGTTTTTTGCTTGACTGCTGCAAGTTGTAGCTTTTGTGTTTGACTTTGTTTATGAATACAAAACAATGTACACATGAATTATGATTATCTTAAGCCTATGTGTCGACCTTTTCTCTCATGTGGCACTGTATTATTGTGAAGTTTTCCACCATACATAATGTTCTTTGATTTGTTCTCATCTTGTATTTGCATACCATTTTAAACTTGATACATCATGTTTACTGCACACAGGTTTATACCGGTTGTCATATATTTTTCTTTCATTTCAGCTGATCTATTTTGTAGTTTAACTAAGTCTTCAATATTATACATTATCATATGTTACAGCACATCACTCAAACATGAGAACCAACCATAATTCCTATGTTAAATCACTTGAATTTCCTGTTTCACACAGAAAATGAGGCCATTTATTGATTCACTGATGATGAAAGTGCATCATTCAATTTATGCCATGAAGTTTCTGGGTTAGTGAAGCTAACTGAAGCATTCACATGTAAGTTGACAACCAAACAAAAGACAAAGACCACAGTGTGGTATCCAAACATAAAGACAAATACAACAGTCTGTTATTGAACCAGAAAATTATATACCCTTAAGGACAAGAGAAAATAAATACAGACACTACAAGAGAGTGTTAGTATTTTTTTTCTCGGGAACAGAAGCAAACTTGGCCAGTCGAACTAGTAATATTGGTACCAGTTTGAGGAAAAAAGCTTAGATAAGATAGCCTTC